ATCTATCTATCTATCTATCTATCTATCTATCTATCTATCTATCTATCTATCGACAGGGTTTCTTTGTGTAGCCCTGGCTGTCCTGGAGCTCACTCTGTAGACCAGGCTGGCCTTGAACTCACAGAGATCCGCCTGCCTCTGCCTGCTGAGTGCTGGGATTGTAGGTATATGCCTGGCAAATCTTTTTTTTTTTAAGACAGAGTTTTTGCTATACAGCTCAGGTTGGCCTTGAATTCTGTGTAACCCAGATTGGCTCTACCTTGTGACCCTCCTGCCTCAGCCTCTTCAATGCTTGGGATTACAGACATACAAGACCACATTCAGCTGTGTTTAAAAAAACAATGGAGACAGGCTCTCTCTATGGAGTCCTGGCTGGTTTTGGTGCTTGCTGTCTAGACTAGGCTGGCCTCAAATTCACAGAGATCTTCCTGCCTCTGCCTTTGAGTGCCATCACTACCTGGCTTGTTTACTCTTTTGGTTTTTGGTTTTTTATTTGTTTGTTTTGGAGACAGTTTTCTCTGTGTTGCCCTGGCTGCCCTACAGATCCCTCTGTAGACCAGGCTGGCCTTAAACTCACAGAGATCTGCCTGCCTCTGCCTCCCAAGTACAGTGCTGGGATTAAAGGTGTGAGCCACCACTTTCCGGCTTTGTTTTGATTTTTTTAAAAGATTTATTTATTATTTATACACCATTCTGCCTGCGTGTGTGCCTGTGCACCAGAAGAGAGTACCAGGTCTCACTATAGATGGTTATGAACCACCGTATGGTTGCTGGGAATTGAACTCAGGACCTTTGAAAGAACAGCTAATGTTCTTAACCTCTAAGCCATCTTTGCAGCCCTGTTTAAAAATTTTAATATGTGGCCAATATCTGAAAGTTGAGCTGGGCACAGTGTCTCAGACCTATAATTCCAACAGCAGAGGGCTTAGGAGTTCAAGGCCATCCTCATCCTCTCCTATATAGTGAGTTAAGGACTAGCCTTGGCTTCATAAGATTCTGTTACAAAAAAAAATCCAATAAAGTAAATTAAAGTAAATAAATAAATATATAAAATTACTATGTGAAAAACGGGAAAGCTAGGATATGCTGGCTTTATCTCACGTCTGCTGTTTCCTGACTCTTCCTGCAGGAGCAGAAGCAGAGGGAAGGCATGACCTTGCTCACGCCAACCTAATCCTTCTCTGGCCTCATTTCTGGTCGGGAGCCAGCCCTTACTCTTTGCCTGCCCTTGCTTTGGTCCTGCCTCCTGCTTTCTGTCACCCAGATGTGCTTTTGTTTTAACAGAACACCTCTGTGGGGCGATGCTCTGAGACCTTCCAGTTTCGGCGGACCTCCAACTGGTGCAAACCACAAGTGAGTTAAGTGTATGGCCCCGGAGGATAGGTCCCCAGAGGCTGACCCCAACCAACAAGCTGTCCAGGGGCCTCCAGGCCCCGTCACATCAACACAGGATCCTCTGCATTCAACAGCTCCCAGAATTGTGTCCCCACTCCCTCCGTTGTCCTCCCATGCACCCTCCTCTCTCCCTCCGCAAAGCCACCCTTAGGTCTAGCCTGTGGTAACTCCTCCCACACGTCAACCGTGGCCTGGGTCCTTCCATCCACTCCCAGCCACCACTGCATGGTGACTTCGCCTAGCACCCCTCATCTCACCCTCCCCGACTGTGAAATCTTCAGGGTTAGGGCCCAAACTCTTCCTAAGCAGAACTCAAAGCCTAGTGGGTGCCTGTAATCCTAGTGCTTTGGGGGCAGAGTCTGGAAGGATCAGAAGTTCAAAATCACCCTTAGCCTTGCCTGTGTTGAGACCCTGTCTCAAAAAAAAAAAAAAAAAAAAAAAAAAAAAGCTAAATAATAAATCAATACAAGCTCAAACTCCCTCACAAGACAGCATGCTCCCTAGCCTGGCCCCGTCTCACTTCCTCCACGTACTCAGTCATGTCACCTTCACGGCTCATTCAAAGCCCTCTCTGGCCATCTCTCTTTTGCACAGGCTGTCCCTTCTGGCCACCCTGCCCCTGGCAAACTAATAATTACACTGTAATTCTCTGTTTAAATGGCACTCAAGAGTTTTCTCTGACCTCATGTTACGACGGACTTTGTTCTGGTCTGCTGTGACCTGCACCCTTTGTATGGGCTCCTTCCTCGTGCCACCCATCTTCTCCGTGCCCGGGAGCCCCTGGAAGACTGGCACCGTGGCTTGTTTGTTCATTTGTGTAACGCAGCCTCTCACACGGTGCTGGTACCCAAGAGGGGGTCAGGAAATTGATTTTTTTTCACACAACCAGGGAGAATAAGAAGCAAATAAAGGGGAAGAGGTTTGGCGCAGTGGGGGTGGAATGGGAGGAGGAGGGAAAGGCCAGCAGCCCTGTGGTTGGTCGTGCAGGCAGTTATCGGTCGGTCGCTCAGGCAGTTGTGTTTCGTGGTGGCCTAGGTAGGCACTTGCCTTCCACCATCCTGACTCTAGGACTTGCAGAGGCTCTCTGGAAGCCTTTGCGGGGTAGCCCAGTGTTGGCCCTGGCCCGAGGAGGATAGAGGATGTGGTAGATACACTGTGAACGAGCCGGGCTCCATTTGGGATCTTCTCACTCGGTGCCTGGGCCAGCCTGGGCAAGTGGCTTAACCTGTCTGAGCCTTGGGCCTCAGCAGAGGGAGGGGAGTCAAGGCTGCTGCCCTCCTTGGAGCTCACAACTAGGCTGGTAAAATGAGGAGCTGGGGGTGCTGCTCTCCCCGCTGTGGGGCTGTGGGGAGGAGGGCAGAGAAGCTGTGCAGTCAGTCAGGTTCCTCTCTCATTAATCCTGACATGTGTGTGAGGGTGGGAATTTTGGTGCAGCAGGCTCAGGAAGGAGGTGGAGGTCTGGGAAGGTGCAGCTGAGCACAGCTGGAGGTTGAAGTCACCTCTCACCCCACGTGACCCTGTGACCCCCATAGATAACATTCCCTTCTCCCTTCTCCCCTTGCTGCTTTTCAGTCTCCAGGCATTCAGTCTGCCCATCAGGCTCAGGCACCCATGGTAAGTCCTTGCTCTTTTTTTATTCATTTACTTTCTGTACATTATTCTGCCTACATGTAGGCCTGCCCATCAGAAGAGGGCACCAGATCTCATTATAGATGGTTGTGAGCCACCATGTGGTTGCTGGGAATTGAACTCAGGACCTTCGGAAGAGCAGCCAGTGCTCTTAAGCTCTGGGCCATTGCCGCAGCCTCTTGGTCCTTTTCTTAATGGGTTAAGGGGAGGAAGCAGGCTCCGCCTCCCCTATAAGGGAGGCTCCACCCACTCCCCACTCAGCAGGCCTCAGGGAGGCTGGTGGGAAGGGACTGCAGGTGGGCTTGCTGGCCCTGATCAAATGGGGAACAGGGCCAGGGAGGAATTCTGTTGGTGGAGTTCTTGAGTAGTGCACACAAGCCCCGAGTTTGATCCTCAGCACCGCATAGTGCACAGCCGTAATCCAGCACTGGGGAGGTGAAAGCAGAAAGTCAGAAAACCTGAAAGGCCGCGTTTGGCCCAGAGGGTGCCACACAGTCACCTCGTTCTCTGGCAAAGCAAGGCTGGCTCTAGTCGGAATCCTTCTTCCCCTCCAGCAGAGAAATCCCTCACCCCATTCCTGTTGTATGTGGGTGTCTGGGAGGGGCTGTGGTGAATGACCTTCCTAGTTCAAGGTTCAGGCTTAAGGGTGGATAGCAAGTAGCGCCCTCTGGTGGCAGGTCCTTACAATGGCGCACACCCATTTCTTTTCCCCAGGATCAAACTGTCAACACAGTTCACAGCGCCCCTGGACAGATGTTCCCTGTAAGTCTAAAATTTTTGGTTATCTCATAGCTCCACCAGTTTCCCTTAGTCAAAAGCAGAATTCCTTAGAGTCACAACGCTGGAACCAAAGTGCCTAAGAAAGACGATGGAGAAAGCTGGGGATGGGCCCCTGCTAGGAAGAGGAGCAGCTCAAACTCTCCGTGGGACACAGAGACTTAGAAACAGTCTTCAGAGGTGTGGGACTGGCAGTCACACTGGTCCTCCCGTTGCCCAGGCTGGAGCGTGGTGGCCCCAGCCCTTAGCTTTCTTACTAAGCTCAAACCCAAGTCACCACGGACAGCTAGTCTAACTCTCCTTCTCCGAGCACAGTGGAGGCAGGGGACCCCAGGCTGGGGGGAAGAGGCTGAAAGGCAGGGGCCATAACGGGCTCAGGAAAACAGTAAGAAGTTCAGGAGTGCTGGTGTGACAGAAGGGGAGCGGGAGGCCTGGAAGGCGGCTGGATATCGGAGGTCCCCTGAAGTATGTGTCGCCTGTATACACCTGCATACCTGTACATGGAATCCTGTTCTCTTCCACAGACTCACGGAATCCAGCCTGTGAGGTACCCCACCTCCCATGTAAGTGGTTTCCTAGGGAGAGCTGGAGCTTTGGCCTGGGTTAGGCGGGGTGAGAGGTGAAGGGAGGTTTTGGGGAGACGATCCTCTAGCTTGCGCGATCGATGAAGGTTCCTGCCCCCAGGTGAACAGTTCAAATAGTAAATTAGTAGACAGCTGAAGAGAGCTGTCACCTCTAAAATGGCCCCTTCAGCGTGAGCAGATTGATTGTACACCTGCCCTGGTTACTTTTCTGTTGATGTGGTCAAACACCATGACAGGGGCACTTAGAGAAGGAAAAGTTTAATGTGCGGCTGAAGAGTCCACGGCCAGCCGGGCATGGTGGCCCGCACCTTTAATTCCAGTAGTTGAGAGGCAGAAGCAGTCGGATCTCTGTGAGTTCAAGGCTGCCCTGTTCCACAAAGGGAGTTCCCAAACAGCCCAGGCTACACACAAAGAAACTGTGTCTCAAAAAACAAACAAAAAGAGTCCATTCCATCATGTCAGGGAGCATGGCAGACAGGCAGGCATAGCACTGGAGCAGTAGCTGAGACCTAACATTTTGTAGGAGAGAGAGAGAGAGAGAGAGAGAGAGAGATTGGGAAGAGTGCAGATCATTTGAAACTTCAAAGCTTCTTCAAAGCTTTCTCCAATCAGACCACACCTCCCAGCTTCCCAAACAATTCCTTCCGTCAACTGGGGACCAGCTATTCATGTATTTTCTTTGGCATTTGATGAACCAAGTAAAGGAACCCGGTTCCTTCCGGAAGATGCAGTACTCATGCGCACGGCTTTAGAGTCCATAGACACGGGAGCCTAGTCCACATCTGCTGCTGACCTGTTCTCATTCTCCCAACAGCTTGCACCTTTCATCGCCCTCATCCCAAGTGGGCTTTACCCGTCCAAGTCCATCATCATATCAGGCATGGTCCTGCCAGACGCTACGAGGTAAGGCAGGTGCCCGGGGCTCTCTGGCCCTGAGCCAGCTGGGGAGGTGGCTAGTTGCCGAGCCCAGAGCTCAGCAGGCAAACAGGGTCTATGTGCACTGTGACCCGCCCATTCCAGGTTCCACATCAACCTTCGTGCTGGGACTGACATTGCTTTCCACCTGAACCCCCGTTTCGATGAGCAAGCCGTGGTCCGAAACACCCAGATCAACGAGTCCTGGGGGCCCGAGGAGCGAAGTCTGCCCGGGGAAATGCCCTTCAGCCGAGGCCAGAACTTCACAGTAAGATGCCGGCGTTCACGAGGAGGGTGCGGGGGCTGGGCTGGGCTGGGGCAGATGCCTGGGATATGAGGGCTGCACCCCCCAAAAAGAGAGACTCTGTGCAAACTAGTATTAGTTCCTGAGTACTGTCCCCGCTGAAGTAAGGGCTGGTATCTGCTGTGCTCACTTCCCCTTCTTCTGGGGCCTGAGGTCCAGCCGTCTGCATGCCGGGGGCAAGCACAGTAGCACCGAGCCCTCCTTTTTTGTTTGTGTAGGCAGGTTTGTAGCCTAGAGCTCAGGTGATCAATCAACCTCACAAGTGCTGGGATCACAGGCCTGAGCCACCACGCCCGTTTCCCAGCCCCCTTTTCTTTTTTCCTTTTCTTTTCTATTTTTTTCTTCCTTCTTTTTTTCCCTTCCATTTTGAGACGGGTTCTTGATAGGTTAGTCTTGAACCCACTCTGTTGTCTCAGTTTCCTGAATAGGTTAGAGTACAGCCCTGCATTATGGGGCCTACCTCTTCCTGCTTTCTGTAGATAAACTCCTGCTTTCTGAGATAAACTCTCAAGGATCTGTCACTTGCATGAGGTCACACAGCCAGTTTGTGCCAATCAAACCCAAGAGTGAGCTGCCATTCACTCCTTTGCTTGTTCGAGCCTGTGTGACCGAGGGGGAGGCTCCCTGAAAGCTGTACTAGATTGGCAACTTTAAGCCTGATACCCTGAACGGGCCTTACCCACCCTCATTATGATATCAGATTATCCAATGAGCTTAAATAAGGAAAATCAATGCCTGGAGCCCACCCCTGGGGCAATGTGCAGCCATCATTTGAAAATGTAATGGCAGCATTCTCTGGCACAAGGCTGAGAGTGAAGGGCTCTGTGGGTCATAAAAGGAGCTTGCATTTTGTTGTTGTTGTTGAGACATGTAGTCCAGGCTGGCCTCGAACTTACTATATATTCAAGGCTGGCCTTGAACTCCTGATCCTCCTGCCTCTCAGGTGCCGGAAGTAATTACAGATGTGCAACATACCTGCCTTTTTTTTTTTTTTTTTTTTCCCAACCTTACCTGGAAACGGTACCTTCTTGACTGCTAGGATTACAGGCATGAGCTGCCATGCCCTGCTGAGATTTTTTTTTTTTTTTTTATGTATGAGTATTCTTCTACATACCATGTACATGCATGCAGCCCTTAGAAGTCAGAAGGAGGCACCAGTCCCCTGGAACTGGAGTTACAGACAGTTGCGAGCTGCCATGTGGGTGCTGGGAAGTGAACCCAGGTCCTCTTTAAGGGCAGCCATGGCCTGAGCTGCTGAGCCGCCTCTCCAGCCCCTTGAGCTTGGATTTTAATGTAGTGAGAACACAGACCTAACAAAACTGGATCTCACAGAGCAGAAAGGCTGGACCATGGTGGGGTCTGCAGCCTGCTTGGGATAGTGCTCATATCCAGGGGGACACGAGGGTTAGGCTGGCCCTCACACAGTGCTGTGTGAGGGTCAGAGGTGGCGTGGGTCACCACGCATTAACATTTGTGTCAGCTGTCTCTTTAAAAATGACTTAGTAGAGACCAGGCATGGAAACACTGGAGACACAGATAGCCTGAGCCAAGTCCCATCACCAGGGTTCAGTTGGAGGTGAGGGACTCAGGGGTCAGGAGGCAGGGGAGGCTTGGGAAGGTCATCGTAGGGGTGAGCCAGTACTTTCCCAGCGTGGAAGTGTGCTTGAGGGGAACACCATTCTAGGCTTGGGACCAGCTAATGCTAGTGTGTGGAGCAAAGGGAACACTTCAGTGAAAGGCAGACCATTCAGGTTGGCTGGAGGCCAGAGTTTGCTCCTAAGGAAGGAGAGAGCTGAGAGAGGGGGCCACAAGCCTGGGTTCTCAAGCTCCCTGCTGTGGTGTCTCTGCCCAGGTATGGATCTTGTGTGAGAGTCACTGCTTCAAGGTGGCCGTGAACGGCCAGCACCTGTTCGAATATGCCCACCGTCTGATGAACTTGGCAGCTATCAACAATCTGGAAGTGGCCGGTGACATCCAGCTGACCCACGTGCAGCCATAGGCAAGGTCTCTGGCCTAGGAACGAGGGCTAGGGCACCCTGTCTGTCTTGCTACCTCTTCCCTGTTTCAGCCCCAGTTTCCCAAAGCCCCCCATCAGAAGAGCCTCACTGACAGGAGTCCCTGGAAGGTGAAATTCCCAATTCACTCCCCTCCACAAAGGGAGTGTCTTGGGCCATGTGGCATATGGCTGTCAGCCCACAGCCCCAGCCACTGCTCCAAGCTAGTTATACCCTGGGAAGTGACCTCCTGGGGTTTGCCCCTCTCTCTGTCCCTTTTCCTGTATCCCTCCTTCCCTTTGCCCCTCCAGAAAGGCCACCCTGATGTCATCCTGCTGGCCTCCAACTGACCAGAATGTCCTTGTTAGCTCTTCCCCATCCTTGTCCTGTGTCCATAAAATAAAGAAATAATAATGCTTGTCTGCACACACATGTGAGATTCCTGGGTTACTGAATGGGTCTGGGACATTTTGGAACTCACTGAAGGGAATGGGGGAAAGACAGGTAGGTGCCCACACCTGCTTACAGGGGACCTGCCTCCCAGACTCCACAAGGTGCCAGAAAAATGGGTGGGACCTGGGGCCCAGGGTTTCTGATAGGAATGCTGGCCTCTGTGTGTAAACCAGGAACAGCCTCATGCTCCTGAGGTGGGGGAGGTGCTGGGCAGAGGCCCTGGGAGCCTCGGCAACTTGCGCTGGGTGAGAAGGTGAGAGGGGAGGCCATGGGGTCAGGAAGAGCTGATCTTCTGTGGGATCTTCAGCAGAGGAGGTTGGGGTGGGGACCTGCCACATGAGGGACACCCCCACCCCAGTCCTGCTAACTCATTGAGGCTCCCATCGATCTGGAACCAGGGTGGGTGGGGCATAAGGTGGAGCCCTCAGATCTGCAGCATGAGCAACACCTGGGAGCTGGTCAGAAATGCAGCAGCTCATCTGGAAGGCTGAGGCAGGAGGATGGCAAGTTCAAGACCAGCTTGGGCTACCTTGTCTCACAAAAAAGACAACTGAAAGAAAAAGCAGCATTTAGTCCTTCCCAGACTTACTAAGCCAGAGTCTGTGTATGTCTGTGTGGTGTGTACATGTTTCTAGACACGCAGGTGAGTGATAATATGCGTGCCTGTGTGTGGACGCCAGACGCCAATTTGAGTGTCTTGTTCATTTGTTTATTTGTTCGAGACAGGAACTCATTCTGTAGACCAGGCTGGCCCCAAATTCAGTGATCTGCCTACCTCTGCCTGTGTGTCAACACCACCCAGCCTAGTTATCTTCCTTGACATCTGTCCACCTTACCTTTTGAGACAGGGTCTCTCATTGAACCTGAAGCTCAGTGATTGACTGGGCCTGTGGCCAGTGAGCTTCAGGAATCTGCCTGTCATACCTTCCCAGAGCTGATGGCAGGTACACATCGTCACACCTAGCTTAGCTTGTTTTAGAACCTCTAAAACAACTTTAGAAAGTTTATGGCTGCAATAAATACCTTTTGTGGACCTCCAGATACCTCACTAGGAGACAGTCTTAAGGCAGAATTGTAGCCTCAGAGAGCCTTCACTCACAAATCCTGGTATACACCATAAATATAAACAAGTTGGTTTAAACTTCCCATGAACCCAAATTATAACAGGACTACAAACTTTGATGTCGTTATGTACAAATTGTTCTGTTGTAATTCCTTATACCTTGGCACCTTATGGTATTATATACTGCCATTTTAAATTTACTTTGTTTCTTGGAATGAAAGACAGATAAGATTATCACCCCCAAACATAGCTGAAAAATGTGTAGCCAGGTAAGTCTTAACTGAAAAGACATATATTCTTTTACCTTTTAGACCCTGTTAACCTTTAGGCCTTGTCAAGCTTTGTCACTCTGAACTCACTTTGAACGTATGTAATGGATACATAGATAAGAAATGTTTAGTTTAAAAACATGTAACCTGTTGCTTTTTAGATTTCATCTGTTTTTGTGATTAATTGTCTTTTTGACTATGAGGTAATTCCTTTTCTGGGAGCTTTCTCTCAGGTATAAAGGCTATATAATACAATAAACAGTGGCAAAACACAAACAAACAGACAGACACACAGACACTCACACACAGGGTTGGCAGAAGCCCAGTGGTGGAAGCCCATTGAATGAAAGCTGGCTGGAATTCGCTTCATGCATGAGTTGTAAATATGTATATAGATGTGTTTACATGTAAATACATCCATCTGTCTGTTTTTTGTACATATGTTACATGAGCATATGTCAATTGTCTATTTGTATGTAAGGAGGAGCTCCTTTTGTATTGTCCGTTGAATGTGTGCATGCATGTGTACAGGTCTATATGTCTGATTGTTTGTCTGTGTGTATGTGTGGGCTGACGCTATGGAACTGGCAGCCTAAACTTGCTGCAGTTTCTGCAGAGGAGACGCTAGCAGAAATCAACACCATCGTCATATGTAAGCTTGTGGGACTTCATTGAAGTTAAAGTTCTTAACTTCTTCATCTTTTTTCTTGAGCATGTGTGCGTGAATGGTCTTTGCTTACTTTATTCCCCCATTTTTCTTTTATTGATTTACAAACAAGTTAACAGTGATTCAGGAACTATCAGTGTAGGATAAGCAGGAAAAGATTTACTTTAGCCTGTGGAGGCCTCCTCAGTGGCCTGCCCTGGGCAGGAGCTAATCTCAGATCAAAAGCCCCTTTTACAACCCCTTGCAGTTTTGGCTAGAAGCCGCCTATTGCAGTTCTGGCTGCAGGAGAAAAGGTGACCAGTGGAAGTTTTCCTCCTTAATAGCAGAGTAGCCAGCCCCAGACCTAGAGAAGGAATCTTGGGTTCCTTCTCCTATTTCTTTTTCTTTCAATCATCTTTCATAATCCATTGCTGATCAGTTGCCTGTGCCACCAGCTCGTCAACCCAAGAGATAAAGTGAACGGGGAACTCTGCATCCTGTCCTAGATCCTACCCTGGATCTTGGAACCTTGCCAAAGCAGAGAGAGACTTTGCCAAGTGGATCCTAGAAGACTTTACCAGCTGTGCATTACTGCCAGGGGCAGGGGGTTTCCATGGGCAATGAGAGTCTGGTGGGCCCCTCACTCCTGCCTCTTCTGCTTCATCTGCTGGGGAAGAGGGCCAGGGAAGCTGGCAGGACCCCCAGTTCACCCCCATCCTGGTGCAGGGCAGGGAACAGCAATGAGGCTGTCTGGTAAGGAGCTATGCTGGCTGGTGCAAACAGGAGCTCCTGGCCTCCACAGCAGGAGAAGGTGGTGGTACCCTTTCCCATCAAGGTGTCACAGCAAGGAACTGTGACCTGCCCAGGTCATAGCTGCTAAACTCTCCTTAAACGGGTCATGGAGCACAACCAACACACACTTTTTCTCTTTTTTAAAAGATGCTCTCAAGTCCACCATGTAACTGTATTTGAAGCCTATGATCTTAGATTTCAAATCCTGTTGCCTCTACCTCCTAATTGCTGAGATTACAAGCGTGGGCCACCATGCCCAAGGTTATACGGAGCTTTGTGTGTGCCGGGCAAACACTCTGCCAACCGAGCTACATCCTCAGTGCCCAGGCATGTCATTTTTCTAAGACAGGGTGAGAAGGTCTTCAGGAAGTCCCCGCCACCATGAAGAACCCCGGGTCTCACCACACCCTGCAGGAGCCTTGTGTGTGACACACAGCTCCAGGCCCTGATCTGGGCCACCTTGCCAGGGCCACAGGGCTTCAGACAAACACAAACTCCATCTGCTGTGCCTGGGGATCTGGTTAGCATGATCCCTCATGTGGCATCATCGTCCAGGCTGTGGCGCTCACCAACCTCAACCCAGATATTGCTTTCACTACAAAAGTCAATCAAACGCACAGGGTGATTAAAATAAAATGCATTTTATATAAATATTTTTCATCGAGGAATATACAGGGAAGGCCTAAGTGCTCCTTGGGAGTAGACAAAGATATTTGTTTTCTTAAATATAAAGTATAAATAACTGTACATAATGTAGCTAAATATTAGAGGGGTGGCATGGCGCCTCCTGGTGGTCACCCAAAGTGCTTCAATCAGGAGGTTCGTTTTTCTCTGCTCACAGCTCCAATGGTCCAGGAAAGGAGAGGGAGAGAAAAGAAGGAGGAGAGAAGAGGAGAAGGGAGGGAAAGGAAGGAGAGGGGAGGGGAGGGAAGGAGAGAAGAGGAGAGAGGAGGAGAGGAGAGGAGAGGACAGAGAAGTTCAGGTAGTCCACTACTTGGTACGGGGCAGGGGGTGAGAGAGGGATGAAGTGAGTGAGGGGTTGGGGGAAAACTGTGTTTCTCTGTCGTGACAGGCCTCTGGCCAGCCGGGGAGCTGAGTCCATCACTGAATTCTGTGCCAGAAGCTGTAACTCCTCCTGGGCCGTCAGAGCCTCGTGCTTTTGGGCTGCTCCAAGGCGCTGCCCTTTTTCACCCCATAGGAAAAGACTGCCCCGAAGATGTCTTCGTGATAACGTTTCTGGCTCTATGAGGAGAAAGAGAGGTCAATGTGTCACCCTTCTGGCCCAGTCACCTCTAGGTCACTGCTGGGACAAAACCCTGGAGCTGCAGCAGCCTCCTGGTGACAAGGGCACTCGCTGGCCCTGTGCCTTCCCGCTTGTCCGGAATGCTGCCCCTACACCGGGTGTGGCTTCCCCTCAGCCCTGCGTGTGGCCCACCTCGGCCTCCTCCCACACTTCACGGATGGCTGGCAGCCCCACCACCCGCCTAGTGTTCATCCCACACGGCACGGCAGGAGGTGAGCTTTGAGCTCAGCAGGAGTGGGGCGGGCCGCGTGTGCCTCTGTTTCCCCGGGTCTTGAAGTCACAGCCCACAGCAGCAGGCTGAGGGCTCCTTGAGGGACCTTACGGTAAAGCCACCTGCTGCTCTCCGTGGACCCAGAAACGTGTCCCGAGTGTTCTGGCCTTGCAATCTTTTTTTCCCCTTGGTGCTAGAGATCAAGTCTGGGCCTTTTCTATACTAATCGAGGTCGGGCTACATCTCCAGTTCTTGTTTCCTCTTTTTAACTTAAAAAAAAAAAAAGGATTTTATTTCCCGCCTCTGCCTCCTGAGTGCTGGAATTGAAGGTGTGTGTGTGCCACCATGTCTGGCTACAATTTTTATTTTCGTGTGTGTGTGTGTGTGTGTGTGTGTCGCTGTATGTGTACATGAGGGCTGTGGCCTCAGTGGTCAGAAGAGGGTATCAGACCCCCCGGAGCTGGAGTTACAGGCAGGTCCTCTGCAGGGACAGCACGCTTTTAACCGCTGAGCCATCTCTGAAGCCCCAGGTAGCCCAGACCGACTTGCCCTTGCCTCTCTCCTGCCTCAGTTTCCTCAAAGCCTCAGCATTCACAGGTGTGTACCACCTCTGCCCAACCCGCTCCTTGCAACCCTTGTGATGTCAGGCATCCACGAACGCATCTGACACGCACGGAACGCCATTTTGGGAAGTCCGTGCTGGTTATCACCTGTTGGAATAATCTGCACCCCAGGACCTTTGCACATGCTGCTGCCCCACAGAACAGACCAGACCTCTGTCTCCACTGTGCACAAGGCTCCTCTACCTTTTTTTTGGGGGGGGTATTCTCCTCAAATGTCACCTCCTCATGACCCCTTCCCCAAACATCCTCATGAAATGATGCACGCCCCAGCTCTGAGCCACTGTTTTGATTAATTCGTACCCAAAGCATTTGCTTATTCTGTGTATTTTATTTCATCACTCTGCCAGAGTGTTAGCTCCATTTAGGTAGGGCTTTTGCCTCTGTATTTTTGAGACGGAATCGCATGTAGCCCAGGCTGTCTCTATGACTGGCTGACTTGTATAACCAAGGGATAACCTTGAACTCTCGATCCTCCTGCCTCCACGTCCCTAGTGCTGGGAGTACAGGTGTTCACTGTAACCATCATGACGTTGACCTTTTTTTTTTAAAACCTGTTTTGTTAACTGCTTTTTTTTTTTTAATCTCTAACACAGTAGGAGCTTAATATAAATGTGGTATGTAAGTTTGAGCCTTAAAGACAGGTTCAGGAACCAAAGAGACAGAGAGGAAAAAGGAGAAAAGAGGCCATGAGCCTGGGCTCTCACATACATTGCTGTGGCACCAGCCAACTTCCTCCTGCAAAATGACATAAAACAGCCATTCTTCCCTCGTAAAGCCCTTAGAGGGGCAGAAGGAAATGTCACAGGACAATCCTTGATGACCACCCGGCAAGGGGCAGGCCCTGTTACCAAGAGTCTTTCCTGCGAGGAATGAAGGCGCCCAGCCAGCAGCCTGCAGTAAATAAGCAGTTTCTCATAGCCAGTATGGGACAGGCCTCCTGTCCCAGTGTCCCCAGCCCTGCTCTGCTCTACGGGTAATATCTGCAGGGGAGTGACGAGCAGAGACTGCTCTGAGAAGCGGAACACGCTGGCCTGATTTCTCAGCTAGCTGGCAGCCGGTGCGTGTAACGGAGAGCCTGGCCTCCAGGAGCCCAGCCAGCCAGTCGGCCCCAGGTTTCAGTAGTGGTGCAGAGGGTCTTTGGGCACCCCCCCCCAGATCTGGGGCTCTGGTCCTGGTTCCCATGGCATGTGATCTGAGCCTACACCCTTCTCTAGGGTCCCTTCCAGCCCTGTTTCCATACCTTGAGCCGGAAGAAATAGTCCTCAACCTGCTCCTCACTCAAGTTCAGCTGGGTGGCCACCAGCTTCTTCACCGTGGCGGCCACATCCCGGGCCATGCGCACGTCTCCACAAACATACAGGTGGCCCTGCTCTGCGTGCAGCACGCTGAGTACCTCGTTGGCCAGCTGCTTCTGCAGGATGTCTTGGACGTAGACCTAAGAGCAGAGGACAAGGTGGGACCAGCCTTAGCTGCTGAGCTCACTGTGTTCAGGCACAGTGGCCCTGGCGGGGAGGGGGTGGGGGCATTGAGGACTCAGCCAGGACCTCAGCTCAGGATGCACAAACATCTTGGCCAATCCTGGCCAACGGAACCCACAGATCTTCCCTGGGTCCACCACACTTCAGAGACACCTCCATCAAGCTAATGACCCTGCCCAGAGCTCTGGGATCTGCTTGCCTACACCCCAGAAAAAAGGTGCTTCTGAGTATGTATCAGGCCCAGCTCTGATCTGTGGCTGGGGCATAGGCTCCCAGGCTCCCCATTTACAAAGAGGGTCCTGGAGTCAGGATTCTGTTACGTTTTCATATAAGATGGCCAGTGGTCCAGCCATTGGAGCCAAAGGGGTCCTCAGGGAAAGTTCACAAGGTTCTGAGCTGAGCGTCTGTACGGACTGCTCATGCCGCTGGAGCAGAGTGCCCACCTGAGGCCCTGGTGGGATCAGCTCCCCGCTCCAGGCTTGCCGAGCTAAGCCTAGAGCCGACCACATCTCCAGGCACAGCCCTGCATCCCCGGGCAGCTGAATGCACTGTGGAGATTGAGCTACAGTGCAAATCTCAAACCTCTCTGGGCTGGGTCTTCTCATCCCACTGCTCTTCATATCACTCGGAGACTGTGCAACGGGCTCCACTTCAACGCGGAGGGCGTGAAAGGCTCAGGGAGGCAGTGGGCATCATGTGTGCTCTGCCGCCTTGCTGGGTGGCTGCACTTACCTTGGGCTTGCCGGGCAGCCGGGAGTAGCCTGTGTGCACCTGGTGCAGCACTCCCCGGCGGACCATCTCCTGCACCTCTTCTCGATAGATGTGGTCCTCTTCTGGGTGCCGGCACCCGAACACCAAGGTCATGCGGCCTCCTTTGAGTCCTTTTAAGATCCAGAGGGTGCAGTTACCACAGTGGCCACTAGAGGGAGAGCCATGCCCACCAGGTGCCCACCGTATTTTCCCGTTTTTTTTTTTTTTTACAGTTCGTGGAGGCACTCTTGAGAAACGTGGCTCAGGAGCACTTACGATTATGCCCACACATTGCTCTTTCTTTTATGCGCCATTACATTTTACTTTTTCTTTTAAAATATTATTATAGCCAGTTCTTGGGAAGTAGAGGCAGGAGGATTGATTGCTATAAATTTGAGGCGAGCCTTTAGGGAGCCAGCCTAGCCAGGGCTACATACCAAGACCCTGTCTTAAATACATATAGGTGCGTGTGTGTGTGTGTGTGTGTGTGTGTGTGTGTGTGTGTGTGTGTGTGTAACATGCTAAGAATATTATTTTAGTGAAATATCAAAAATTCTGTGGCTTTCATGTGGACATCATCTCTCCTGACCCAGATGCCACACCAAGTGCAGGTGGTGAGGCCTCAGGTGTCCAGGACATCTCAACAACCTCCTGATGCTGTGCTGGACTTCAGGGTCTTGAAGGTCAAACATTGCTAAAGGTTCCTTCCACAAAAGCCTCCTTCGAAGGGTTCCAGGCATAGAGGCGTCCTTTCTCCTAGGCTGTTTCTCCAATGAAGAGAAACTGTCTTCATCTACGTTCTATTACTTTCATCTCTGAACGCTGAGGACCTCTTCACCGGTTTACCCTATGGGTTATTTAATGGGTGGTTGCCGACAACGAGGCCAGCATTTAAAACCTGGCAGAACGGGCTAATGAGACGGCTCAGCAGGCAGACGTGTTTGCCATCAAGCCTGACAGACTGAGTTTGATTCCTGGGACCTATGATGTGGGAGCAGAGAGGCAACTTGACCTCTGACCTCCACAGGTGCATCAGGACACCCCTCTAAATACATTAAAAATGAACAAGGTTACAGTGTTATAAGTTGGTGTGCCTGTGCCTGTGTAATGGCGAGATCCTGGCACACCGCCTTCCTCTTGAGAGCTGTACCTTTGTGTTGGGAGTCATGGAGCCGCTGCTGCCAGAAACTTCGGAAGGGGGCAATGCCCGTGCCAGGCCCAATGAGGATGCAAGGCTGGGAGGGGTCCTCTGGGAGCTGGAAGCCACTGACGCTGCAGGGAGACAGGAGGAGAGAGACCTCGGTCTTCAGACACCCCGAGCCAGGATAGGGCTGGGGGCGGGACATCTGGCACGGCGGGACTGTCAGGGTGGAGGGAACCACTGACCCCCAAGCCCTGTGCACAGGTCTATCCTCCCTGCCCAGGCAGGCCATCCTCCCACACTCGAGCTCTTTGGTGAAAGGACCAGTCTCGCTGCACTCTGGATCTCACCACAATCATCACCGTTACCCTTGCCAGGGATCTTGTAGCCAGATAGTAAAATGAGGAGTCCCTGGATTGCCCCTCCCCCAACCTTCATGGGCCAAAGGGAGCACTCTGTCCTTGAACCTTCCCTTGTATGGCAGCCTCTCCAGGCACCAGGGGCTCCAAAGGGCCCTGAGGGCGTGCTTACCTTCGCACGAAACAGGGCACAGGATCCTGGGGCTTCAGGCTACTGATCCAAGTGCTGCAGACACCATGATGCAGGGGACCCTGACCATCTGCAAAGGACAGTGCAGACGTGACCAATAGCTCCTCTGGCCTTCATGCAGCCCAGCTCGGCGCTTTTCCTACACTGCCAAGCCCCCCTGGGTGCCTAGTTCTTGAATGAGGAGATACCTTCTCTCCCAACTGTCCACACAGAACAGGGAAGGCTGTGAGCAACCTGGTGAGCAATTGCTCCCTTTGCCATCACAGACAAAGAGTCACAGAAAAGAAGAAGGAGCAGGTGGCTGAAATCATGGTGGACTTGGATGCTAACAGTGTGACTCAGGAAAAGTGGGTTCACTTCTCTGAGACTCTTTCTTCCTCCCTTGTAAAGGCACATGGAGGCCTGGAGGCCATCTCCCACAGTCATGGAAGGTAACTAAGGAGCGTGCTTCATGCCTGCTTCAGGACAATGTCCCCTACGCAGCTTCCCACACTGCTGACAGCTCTGGCCGGTGGCTGTCACTGTAGCACGGAGCTGATAAAGAGACAAGTCTCAGGGTGTTAAACAGCTGCTGCGGTCCATCTGTGTCATCACCCGGACAGGCCCAGGGAAAGAGACACTCGGTTGAGGACTTGCCACAAGAATGGCCTGTGGGCACGTGTGCGGGGCGTTCTCGTGACTGCTAATTGATGGAGGAGATTCCAGCCCACTGTGGGCAGTGCTGTTTCCGGGTAGTGGTTCTGAGTTGTATAAGCTAACTCGGTAGCTGAGCGAGCCAGAGGGAACAAACAGTGTTTGTTCCTCCACGGTTCCTGCCTTGGCTTCCCTCGATGACGGACTGTCACCTGTAAGCTAAACAAACCCTTTCTCCCCCTGAATTGGACCTCCATGGCGTTTATCACAGCAGCAGAGGGCAATCTAGGACAGCTGCCCTAGAAGTAAGAGGTGCAGGTGACACCGGCGTCTGCCTGCCTCACCTCGGGTGCGGTAGGTGACCACGGCCACAGTGAGGTGGACCTCCGAGGGGGTGTGGTCCTGGGACGAGCTGATGGAGTAGTAGCGGGGCTTCAGTATGGGGAGCTGTGAGAGCAGGAAGGTGGCAGGCACACGCAGTGACGGGAACTCTTCCAGCACCTCCAGAAATGTGGGGCTGTTGCTCAGCTTCCAGCCGTTGTACTCTGAGGGCTGAAAGCCAAGGGCAGCGTGAGGGACTGGGAGACGTGTGGGAGAAGGAGCTGTCCCACCCAGTCGTCATCCATCCAGTCACTCAACAACAGGCCATTGTCCGGGCGCTGTCCAGGGTGCTGAGGCCACTATGTTGGTTGGGAAGCAAGGACCTGAGGCAGCTAGCAGCCTTTCTCAGTTGTTCCTAGAGATCTCTTATGGGGAGGATCAATGGCGGTGAGGGAGGACTGCAGCCCCAGCTGGTTGGAAGGCGGGAGGCAGGAGGATTCCAAGATTAAGGCCAGCGGGGGTTACAGATTTGAGGGCAAGCGTGGACTGCCTCGGAATAAAAAGGAGAGACGGGTTTCTCTCAGGGGTAGAGCACTTGCCTGGCATGTGTGAAGGTCTTTGGCAAACTCCTAGTTCCCACAAAACAAAGCCAAAAATCAAGACACTAAAACCTCCCCCAAATCAGCAACTCATAGACAGGGCTCGGTGCACTTTCTTTGGGGATGGCAATAGAGACGTGCTCTTGTTACCTAACTCACATTGGCCTTGAATTCATTGTTGGCCAAGGCTGGTCTCTGTCTCACTGTCCTCCTGCCTCAGCCTCTTGAGATCACACCACCATGCCCAGCCGGGCTTATTATACTATAATATACTTCCTTATTATACTATAATTTGGAACCAATTGGATCTGGGTTCCGATCATGGCCAGATGTTCCTGCTAGCTTAACCTTTAGTCCTTGTGGAGTCGTCTGATACAACTTTTCCCACAGGGTTGCTGAGATCATAACAATGTGTCCAGTGACATTGTATCCAGTGCCTCTTACAAAGACATGAACTGGGAAGTTACCAATGACTTCAAGTATCACTGACTCATTACTAACTCAGCTGCCCACCTGCCATTACGTCATTTTCAGCTTAGCCCCCCATCTGCCATTACATTATTATATACACAATGGACGGCCGCCCCCTGTAGCCAGATCCCAAGGAAGCGCACTTTGGCTGTGTGATGACCGCTCTTCACTGTGAACCTGACTAGACTTAGGGTCACCATGGAAACACACTTCTGTGAGGTGTGTCTAGAGGTGTGACTGGCGAAGAGCCACCCTGAGTTCCTATGGGCTGGGACCAAATGAGAAGGAGAAAGTGAGGGGAGCACCAGCATCGACCTCTCTGTTCTTCCTCACCCCGGAGCGACGTGCCCAGCCACCCACACTCCTGCTGTTGTGATTCCCATCATGATGGACTGGACCCTCAGGAACCAAAATCAAACCTCCTTTCCTTAAGTTGCTCCTGTCACGTATCTTGTCACAGGAATGGGACAAGTAATGAACACTGGTTTCCTCATACCGGCTCTCAGAGAAACTTACTCACTTGTATACTGTATCAGAGACCGGGCAGCAGACGATGCTTCGCCCCCACCAGACACACACAACCACAGCCGGGGACTCAGAGGCTGAACTCGGCTCTGGGCTTTTGTTCCTGCCCTCTAAGAAATGCCCCCACCTCACCCACCAGCCAGACCCTCACCTGACACAAGGCCTCCAGCCTCCGCCTGTCGGCCTCTTCCGTGGCCAGGCGGGCCAGCTTGTGGAGCTGCAGCTGGGTGGGCGGGGTAGTGATGTCCAGGAAGTAGGTGAGGGCTTGGCTGAGCGAGCAGGGGGGCAGCCTCTTGTCTCTGACCCAGTAGCTGCCTGAACAGAAGGAAGAAAGATGTCAGAATGGGGAAAGGCCCTGCTTGGGTCCTGACTCTCAAACAGTGCCTACCCTCCCTCTGCATGCAAGGAGGGGAAGTCTCTGACATCTTGGCTCCAGAAAGAATAAAGACCAGGAGTTGCTGCTGAAACAGGGCTGCCGGAGCAGGCTGATTAATCACCCCCACGTGGGCACCCGTACTGACCCTGATAGACTAGCCGCATTCTTCTGTGGCCCATGCTTGAGTCTCTGACACCCTCAGGTGAACCACAAACTCGGTGACTAAGACCACTGGAGACTGAGGTACACCCCAGAGCCTGTTGTTCTTTTAGAAATGGCTACAGCCCCCCCGGGGTGTTAAAGCAAGAGGCTCTGGGTGAACAGATCAGGATAACTTGAGGTGGCCAGGCTTCAGGAGTCCCAAGAGACAGCATGCAGGGAGTCACAGCATGGCCCAGGTTCAAACCCTGGCTCCCCACTTCCCAGGTGAGTGTTTGAACTCTGTGACCTCCAGCCATTTCCTTGAGAAGCAGATACAATGACAAAAGTCTGGGCTGACACCGGCAACGAGTAAAAACCACCTCTGGGAAACAGTTGGCATAGTGCCCAGTCCACAGGTTAAGTTTAGTGCGTGTTAGCACATTGGTTTTTTTAATTAATTAATTTTTTATTAATTCAGTTTATTCACTTTGTTTCCCAGCTGCAGCCCCCTCTCTTGTCCCCTCCCAAAGCCACCCTCCCTCCCTCATCTCCCCCCATTGATGGGGGGGTCCTCTCCTTCCATCTGACCCTAGCTTATCAGGTCTCATCAGGACTGGCTGCATTGTCTTTCTCTGTGGCCTGGTAAGGCTGCTCCCCCAAGAACATTGTTTTTATTCCTCTTCCCTCTCCCCACTTTCTTCTAGAGACAAGGACTTTATCATTAATGGCCTCTCATCTGAACCACATCTGCGTTTTTCCAGCCCCAGGGATGCCTCGGGTCTCTTGTCTCTAAGTTTCAGGCTGACTCCTGTTTCCCTTGGATGGTGGACACTGCCAGGTCTTGCTTCTCTGAGGCCAGGGGCACACACTCACAGGGACACCACTACCATTAGAGGCAGAGCTTCTCCCGTGAGCTGGGACTGGAGTAGACCGGGACAGACTTAGGCCCCGTCCTCAGGGATGGGAGTGAGGGGAGAGTAAAGGTTTTTCTGGGGCTCCGGGTCTCACCTTTCTCATCCATAACCTCCAGGCACACAGTTTGGTGTGGCGCAGGGCAATCCACAACTCGCTCCAAGATGCCCTGCACCAGGGCAGTCTGGTTGCTTGGGAAAATCCCAAGGTGTTCCCCAGGCAGGTAGCTGGGGCCTTGGCTGCCCTCGAAGGAGAGTTGAACGAGGAGGGTGGTACGGCTACAGAAGAAAAGGGAGGCCTTGGGTAACTGCCAGGCTCCTCAAGTAAGTGCTCTCCTGACGCCTTCCTGCTGGCTTCCTCCAGCCTTGGTTACCAGCCAGAGTTTGTGACAAGACATCCCCTCAGCTGGGGACCCTCAGAGCTCCGTAGTTTCTCAAAGGACTTGGGCCACAGCCCTCCTTAGAGCATGGAGGGCTTGGCCACACTTCTGCCACAAGAAGACTCTCACTCAGGGTGTGTGGGCATAGGAGGTAGCCTTCCCTTGTCTCCAGAACAAACCCTGTTCTCATTAGACCTGAGGTCAATGGACAGGAGCAAAGGAGAGGAAGGAGAACACGGAAAAAATCTACAGATAGCCCACAACCCTCATCTGCCTGGCTGGGAAGTTTCTGTCCTTGTCAAATATTCTCACAAATGGTCTGAAGACTCAAGTGGTCTATGTTTCCCCTGGTCACTCTTAGCAAGTGTTCAGAGAGGAGGAAGCGCCAACAAGGCAGACACCTAGTTCCCAAACTGGGCGAAGGCACAGATGCCAAGGACAAGCAGAGTTGCTGGTCCCAACGGTGACATTCTTCAGTGGGCACTTCTCCCCTCTCCCCAAGCACAGACTGACTCGATCTGGTCCTTTATCCATTCCAGAGCAACCTTGGGACACCAGCCAAGCAGCCCTTGCCCATCCTTACCTGGACTTCCCACTCTGCAGATTCTGCTGGGATTTCAGCCTCATGGTGAACACGTTCTTGGCATGTATACTGCTGAGGGCTGAGGAGACAGATTGAGATGGCCCCTGTGCTCTGGTGGGGGGAGCCCCACATACCGAGTTGATGGTCCCTGCATGCTTCCCTCGCCCTTGGTATCCCGAGGCAGGATCACTATTATTTTGGAATCACATGTAAAGACCCCGGGCCTGGGTGGATGTGGTGACACAGGTCTGTTAGCCCAACACTTTGAAGGTAGAGTCAGGAAGATCAGGAGTTTGAGGCCATTCTTGCCCATATAGCAAGTCTGAGACCCAGTCTTGGCTACATGAAACCCTGTCTCAGCTGCCTGCCTCTATACACACACAGAGGAAACAAAACAAAACAAAAAACAGTAACCAAAACCAAACAACAAAAAGATCCTAGTTGAACAGTGGCTTCAAGGCTCAGAAGTACTGGGAGATTCGATTTAGACATTAAAACACAGAAAGTCTCAGGACAGCTATGTGATTTAGGGATTTGGGATTTGTAGGAGAAAAGAGATGAAGCAGGGCCTGTCCTCACACGCAAGTCCCTTTGTGATGTCTGGACTCAGGGAACTGAGAATATGTCACCCAGGGCGGGCAGAGATGAGCCACTTCACTGCCCCCTGAATCACCTCAGACGCCTCCCCGTGGCACGCGCCACTCTGTGGAAGACTGAACCCAACCCCCGTATTTCCCACATGCCACTACTTGGCTCATTTCCTTGAACTTTAACTTGTCTGCATTTGTCACAGGACAAGTGCCAGGCCAAGTGTCACAGGCTAGTTCACATGGGCCAAGAAGCTGGCCCAGGGCCTGGCAGAGTTGCCCGCACTGTCTCCCCGCTGAACCTGGCTCCCTGCTCTCACTGCTACGCCCTCAGGGCTTCCTCCTGGCATGCTCTCCCTCAGAGCCTGAAGCCCTGTCCCAACAGGCTCTGCGGCCAGGAAGACGGACATCTGGCAGTTCCAGCCCATGGCTTTCCTTCAGAAGGTCATGGCAGACTCCTTGACTACTGGTTCAGGGCTCAGATAGCTACAACCCAGGCAAGAAAGACCAGAAGGGCACAGAGGGGCTGGTACCTTTGTTGAGGTCTAATGGCTCTGGGCTCTGGGTGAGCCTGTATTGTTGTGGCTCCCAAACTGTGTTGGAAGTGTAGCGTTTCGGAATCTGGATGTGATGTTTGCTTCGAACATTAAACGTCTCACAGGCGGCCTGGAAAGTTAGGAAGAATGGCATTCATCATCACCGTCACCACCCGTCACCACTGGTCAAACACTGAAGGGCTACATCTCAGAACACCAAAGCGTGTCATCTGCTGCGGACTGGAAGAGCTCAGAGAATCCTAGGCTCGGCACACAGTGGTTAGTGCTGTTATAATAGACAGTAAAGCCACCATCACAAATCTCTTCCCACATAGCCAGGGAGGCCTGGGGCTTTGCTTTCCTGATAGAAAAGTTTATGGAGACTTGGGACCAAGTCTTCTGGGCTTCCAATTGCTGTTCTTTCATGTCAGTGATACGTTCCCTCCACCAGCAGGGAGGAACCCAGAAAGTAAAGATTTGAGGAGATAACAGCAGGTCACAAGAGCTTAGCAGTTTGTCTCTTGCTCTTCTCTGAAGAGCCGGGAGACTGAAGCAAGACACCGTGGTTACAAGGTAGCCCAGGCTATCAGCAGGAAAAGCCCTGAAGACAGAAGTTCAGGACAGGGAGCTGCCTCTGCCACCTGGAGCAACACGCTAGGGTGACACTCTTCTCGGTGGAGTGGGGGTTGGGCAGGCTGCTTTGACCTGAGAGGACAGGCCTGTAGCCCCGGCCTACACCTGGCAGAGGTCACGCCACCCAGGACGCCAGGCTCGGATGTGTTTGGCATATGATCGCATTGTATGATCTGGCTGGAAACTGACCCGGAAGGTTTGCACAGCCCAGCTGCGGAAGGCATCCTCCTGCCCGCTGAGCTCGTCCCCTTCTCCTGTCGGGGCAAGCTGAGAGGCTCCCAGCTGGGACAGCTTCTGGTCGATGTCATGAGCGAAGGCGCAAAACTGAGGGTACATGCTGGAGCCCAAGCCGAACACAGCATACCTGTCAAGGACACACAGGGACACTCAGGATGCATGGCCGCAGTTTCCTGTGGTCTGTAAGGACAGCTCTCCTCTCCCACGCCCACTGGGTGACACCACAGTCATTGACCAATGCACTCTTGGCCTGCAAACCTGCACGAGGGACTTGGTTTCTATGTCTTGATCACAACCCATTCAGGAGCCAAACCTCAGCCTAGGACTCTGTCTACCCCTGGACATCTCTGAGAAGACATCCTGTGCACACACCCAATTCAGTGGGCCCAGGAAGCAGGGATGCGGAAGAGTGCCTCACCTGAAGGTGTGGGTGAGCTCTCTCAGCATGAACAGAGATTTCTTCAGGGTCTACAAAGACAAGGAACCAGAGTTCTCAGGCCAGGAGCCACACACTACTTTTTCTTCGCCATGGTGGTCCGTTTAAACACTGACCACGCTGAACAGGCAAAGAATCCAGATCCATGGGGTAAGACACCAGGGAAGTCCAGACTGCCCCTCAGTGGGAAGCCCAGAAGTCCCTGGTGTCCCCATTTACCACTGGAAGGACACAGGTTCCTCAAAAAGAATATGAACCTCGCTTCCCTTGGAACGTGGTAGGAACAACTTATTGTTTGAAAGAACTTTGAGTTTTCCAGGAAACTGTTTTAGGCAGAGTGGGACCCATCACATTGTGGGAAGCTGTGCCTTTTGTAATCTCTTCTCATGCCCTTTCTTTTTGATGGCCTTTTCATCCTTCCAAGCACTAGAGAGACAAATCGGTGCTAACCAAGCCTTAACATCTCGTTCATTCTTGCCTCTGCTCAAAGCACAGGGCTAGGCAGGCCAGCGTGTGGCCAGCTAGACAAAATTCCCATGCCTGGCCCATTTTCCCTGTGTGAGAATGATAGTCTTTAAAAACATGAATTCTGAGAGTGTCTGAGAGTGTCTGAGTCCATGAGTGAGGGTACCCAGGAAGGCCAGAAGCTAGTGATGGATTCCCTGGAGCTGAAGTTACTGGAGCCGAGGAGCCTCCTGCTGTGGTGCTGGGAATGAAGTGTGGTTCTTTGGAAGTACAGCAAGCACCCTCAACTGCTGAGCCACCTCTCCAGCCCCTACCTATGAATCCTTGTTGAGGGAGAATTTGAGATAAGATTTCCTACGGAGTCCAGGCTGGGTCTAAATTTGTGATCTTCCTGCCCCTACCTCCCAAGTGCTGGGAGGTACATCACTAGGCCCAGTTAAATAAGGATTTAAAAAAAAAAATTTTTTTTTTGAAGGTAGGTCATGGCTGCTGTGATGGCTCGGCAGAAAAAAGTGTCACCAAGCCCGAAAACCTCGGGGACCCACATTGTGGAAGGTAAGAACCATCTCCGGCAAGTTGTCCTCTGACCTCCACATGCAAGCTGTGACACCCCCCACTCCCACCCAAAATAAATAAATAAATAAAAATAAGTAAATGTAATAAAGCCAATCTTCTCAAATCTAAAAATAGGTAAGTAAAAGTCGGTCAATTCACAGGAAAGCATTGTGTGCCATGGGAAGGTGGTATGAGAAGGACCCAGAGTGGCCTGGGTGCTTACTTCCAGTGCCCTCTTCAGGTCATGCTGGGTCCTCCCAAGCCCCGCTGCCCCCAGGTGCCCAGGGCCCCGAGCCACCCACCTGCCCATTGCTGGGGCAGTCTCCGTTCCCAAAAGTGCTTGTCACCACCAGCAGCAGTTGCTCCTCTTCCAAGCTGCTTGCCTTATACTGGCTCATGCAGACAACCTGCGTGGGAGACCACCGACATCAGCGCCCAGCTCCCAGGAGGCCCTCCACACCACCCCAGGCGTCTTCCGCCCAAGCGTCTACCTTGGTGTTGAAGGCGTAGCTGAACAAGGCTGCCAGGTCCTGGGCTAGCGCTTCAGACTTTCCTGTCTCGGTAGCAAAGAGGACTGTGGCTCTGACCCGAGAAGCCATGACCTTGCGCATCAACACGGAAGCAAAGAGCACCACTCTGTGGGGACAGATGGGCAGACAGACAGACAGATGCTGTGCTGAGTCATCTTCCAGAGGAGAATGGAACGGGGGCAGGACTGGGGATGTCGGGGAAAGCATCTCCACTTATTGTCTGACTGGTGGCCCCCGGGCGTCCTGACCCAGCCCCTTTGGGGAGTCTGGAACTACAAAAGCAAAAAGGGTCTCAGAACTGGTGTCTAGAGTCCTGGAGCCAGCACCACAAAGAACGTTCTCCATTTGCCCTGCCCTTCATGGTGGAGTCAGGAAGGCCGCCGCCTCAGTAAAAGGGACAGCTGCCCACTGGCACGTACTTCACCAAGACTCTGAAGCGGATTTCCCTCCTCCTGGGCCTCAGCGTCCCATCCTGCCAGACGTGGGTCTTCCAGGGCTCGAGCTACAGAGAAGAAGGGAGATATGAGGGTGTGGTTCTGGCTGGGCTCCATCTGGGGGATGCTGGGGAGTCAGGGGGCCCTCTATAGTCCTCATGGAGCGACACCCCACCCACATCACCAAGGCTCAGGGTGACGCTTCCTGGGCCTTTTGAAGCAGTGGGCACTGGGCCTCCTTTGTCACTGTCCCAGAAGGTAGAGGTCCACCTGCTCTTAGTATCTCTCTGTTGGGTATGCTAGATAATGTATAGTCTAATCTGGGCACCTCAGAGAGGCCAAGGCATGTTCAGCTGGTATGTATAGCCTTGCGCAGTCACGCTACATAGATGAGCTGCAAGATGGGGAGGCTGGAAGGCTTCTCCCTGACCTGATAGTAGTAGAATGGAGACAGAACATAGTTGAGCATCTCCTGGTGGAACACAGGGGTGATGCTCCCGGAGACTGGGGGGACCAGCCAAATCCAGTCTGCAGGGCAGCCTCCTCGGGCCCGGTACTCATTCTGCATGTGCTTCATGAAGGACTCCGAAGCTGTGTGGTGGTCCATGATGGTCACATTCTGCTTCTGGTGGAGAAGAAGATGGAGTGGGCTGAGGTAAGGGCCGCGGAAGAGAGCAGAGAGCGCCTGTACTAGAGGGTAGGCAATCTATGTCATGGCTCCGAAACTGCTCCTGCTCCTCTCACTGACTGCTGGAGAAACGCATGCAGGTCCAGGTCCACAGGCTGAGAGACCTGTGCCATCACCACAGCCAGCCAGCCCTCGGTCACACAACAGCTTCCCCTCAGACCCTCTAGAAGCATCCAGCAACTCCAGGGCTCCAGGCATTGTCAGCGAACATCGAGCCTCAGGTGTGGACAACTCACACAGCACCATCTTGTTTCAGGCAAGGAAAATACGAACTCAAAGAAGCCTCGTTCAGTAGAGGGCTTGCCTGGTGTTCATGAAGCTATACACATTTATAATCTTGGCATTCTAGTGGTGTGGGCAGAGGATCAGTTGAAGGCCATCCTCAGCTATATACGGGGGCCCCTGGCCAGCCTGGGCTACAGGAGATTCTGTTTCTAAAAATATCAAACACAAAACTACCCTCGTCATCTGTGGGGACAGGGATGGACCAAAGTGTCGGAGAGACAGGCCATCCACATCTTAACACAACACTAAAGGCCACGAGATCTGGACTAGCCTGGAATGAACCAGTTAAAGCAGCTGCACCCCAGAGTCTGGAGATCCATTCAACCAAGGGAAAAGTGTTTATGGCTGGGGGAGGGCGTGGCTCAGTGGGTGAACATGTTTGTCACCAAGCCTGTCCGGAGTGTCATCCCAGGAACACGGAGGAAGGAGCGAACCAGCTCTACAGAAGCATCATTCGCTGTCAGTGGGTGTTGTCTGGGACTGTCTGTCCACCAGGAACCATGAAAGACCCCCGGGGCAAAGGAGAGATGGTCTCCATGCATTGCCAGCAAACAACCAGCCTCCTGGGGAGGCTGAAGGAAGTCAGTCATTTTCAGAAGGCCTGGAAGGATTTGTGATGGAAGGAGGGGCAGAGGGGAAAACCTAGCGGCTGGGATAGGCCCAGGGGAGGGATGGAGGTCAGGACAACTGCAAAGAGAGGGCAAGTCCTGAGACATGGATTCATGTTGGCCAAGGAAGGGCCATTCCTCGGGAAGGATGCTGTATGAGCCAAGGCTGGCAGCTGCCACCTGATGCCGGGCTTGAGAGTCGAACCACACTTTGAAACTCATGTACAAACAAACAAACAAACAAACAAACAAACAAACCAAATCTCATGTACAGCTGCTGTTTGACTCATGAGAGGGCTCCATGCTGATGGACCCATGGCAAAATGAAAATATCCTCAGTCAAGAATATACTGAGTGGGGACTGGGGTGTAACTCAGCTGGCAGACTGTTGGCCTAGCACACACCAAGCTCTTTGTTTGATGCCTAGTAACACGGTAAAAACAAACAACTCAGCGGTGGTAGCTCACGCCTGTAATCCCAGCACACGGGAGGTGCACAAGAAGTTATGTAGTGAGTTTGAGGCCGGCCCGGGCCACATGAGACTCCATCTCAGATCTTTTTAAAAAAGCACCACGCCTCACAACCACCTTAGCTTGACTACATGACATACTGTAATATCGGCCTCTGGCCCTCGTGGCTACCACAGCTGGCTGAGGCTGAGGCTTGCTGCTGCCAGCTGGCCACCACCGTTAGTCCCGGAGAGATGAACACTCAAAATCCTTATGCGGTGAGCTGTACAGGCCTGTAAGCATAGACACTCTGGAGCCTGATGTGAGTTTAAGGCCTGCCTAGACAACACAGTGATTCAAGGCCAGCCTGGGTAACCGTGTCTCAAAAAAAGAATAAAAAGGGGGTTAGAGAGAAATTAAGATCCCAAACAACAACAAATCCAAGCAGGGACCTGGACACATGGCTCAGCAGTTAAGAGCACTGTTTGCTCTTCCAGAGGACCTGGGTTTGCTTCCCAGCACCCACATGGCGGCTCTCAGCTGTAACTCCAGTCCCAGAGGGTCTGATGCCCTCTTTTGCACATCTGTGGAGCACAGGCACACACACAGGCAAAACACCTATACACAAATAAAATACAAAATACATATAATGGTAAGAGGCTTTTAAAAAAGAATTTTTTAAAACCCCAAGTAGAGTTGTTCTGGATTCCCAGCACTTTCACGCTCTCAAAAAATTCCCAGGTGGAGCCAGGGTAAGCCAGGGACTATCTGTGCACATACACCGTGCCCTTGGACTTCAGGGATGGTGTAGCTATGATAAGCACAGATGCACCACCCACATATGATCCCGAGGGATCAAGAAAACTGCCAACCATGTCTTATGAATTAGTTGATTCTAGCAATGATTTGGCAAGGGATACACTATTCCCATTTTTTTGTTTGTTTGTTTAGTTTTGTTTCTCTCTTTGAGAAATAGCTCATGGAGTTGCCCAGGCCGGCCTCGAACTCACCATCCTTCTGCTTCAGACTTCTGAATGCTGGACTTATAGGCATGTTGCCATCATGCCTGGCTGCTGTCCTCACTTTACAAGGGAGAAGAAAAAAAGGCCATGTCTTTTGAAAGTTGCCCTAGAAGAAGGTGACGAGAATGGCCTAGAGACTCAGGGAGTGGAGGGGCAGCACCAGGAGATGGCCAAGCCTCTGTGGATTTGCTGGGACAATATGCATCCTGCCAGAGTCAGAGCTGGCGCTGGAGGTCCTGGCTGTTAGGATGTCTGAGCCAGGACTGGTCCTTCCTTACTGGGCTTCTTGTTTTGTGTTAGTTCAGAACCCCTTACTCCAGGGAGCACAGGCCATGTAGACTGGGGCTGGCATCCACTCATCCACCCATTCCATAATTTCCCATCCTCCTCCTTGGGCCAGACACTGCTGGACGTGTAGCAGTGACCTCAGTCATGGAGCACTGAACAGCTCACTTTTCCAGTGGAGGGAAGAAGCAACCGGAAACTACTTTGACAAAACCAAATGAAAGGAGGTGGGGAAAAAGAGGACTGGGGTTGGGATGGGAGGTAGAGGGTGGGAGGGAACACAACACTGGCCAAAGCGGCACGGTGCAGGAGGGGTTCTTTAATCCCTCCTACAAGCAGGTAAGGAACTGGCCATAGGATGATTTAAAGGAAAGATTCTAGGTGGAAGGAAAAGCAAGGGGGTCAAAAGCGAGATGGCTCAGAAATAAAGGCGCTTCCTGCCACGCCTGCTGGTCCCAAGGTCCTGATCCCTAGGACCCATTTGGTGAGAGCAAAGAACAGATTCCCATTAGCTGTCCGCTGAGCTTTACCACGACATGAACTCAGAAGTGCTCAGTCCTGTGGTAGGATCCCTTTTTGCTGAGTCTTTGAAACCCTGCAAGAATTTCAGACCCAAGGAATGGTCAGGCAGGGAGGGAGAGCTCGGAGATGCAGCCACGAGGAGCATTCTCTGAGGGCCGTCCTGAAGCAATGGAAGCAGAAGCACCTACAGTGCCCGAGTTCAGGGACAGGCAGGGAGGAAGGAGCCGCCATTGCTAGAACAGCATGAACGCTGGGTCTCGGCACCCAGGCAGCCTGAATGAATGAAGCCGTAATGGGGACATCAAGTACCAGACAAGTGGCTGGACCAAGAGACCTTCTTGCCAGAGCCTCTACAAACCCACACGACCCCCGGCATACCTGGAAACTATGGAGCACAGCCACATTGATCTCCGTGACAGCCCGGTCTTTCCAGAGGGAGGCCAGTGTGTGGGTCTCCAGGCCCATCCGCCTGCCCACTTCCTATAGGAACCAAGTAAGGAAGGTGAGACGGTCTTGGGGACTCCCCTGCCGGCCCCCCTCCTCCAGCCGGCCCAGCTGGGCAACCCCTGTCACCTCCAGGATATTGTAGCGCTGTGTGTCACAGAAGTCTCGAACTCCGATCTCCGTGCCCATGTACCAACCATTGAAGGGGCAGGCTGGGAATTCAAGGCCGCCCACCTCCAGCAGCATGTTGGCTACAGCAGGAAGCGCGTACCACTTCAGTCCCAGCTCCTGGAACCACTCGTACCTGGCAGGGAGTAAGAACCAGCTGCAGTTAGAGTCTTCTTGTTTGCCCTCTCTCCCCGGTCAAAAAATAATTTACATCAGTAAAAGGGTCAACCAAAGAAATTCCTTTTTTTCCTCTGGTGTTTTGTTTTTGAGACAGGGTCTCATATCCCAGACAGGTCTTGATTTTATGTAGCTGAGGATGACCTTGAACTTCTGATCTTCCTGACTCTATCTCCCAAGTGCTGGAATTATAGGCACGTGCCATCACATCCAGTTTCTGCAGTGCTGTGGATCAAAGCTGGGGCTTCAAGCATGCTGAGCAAGCACACTCAATTGAGCCTTATCTCCAGTGCTAAAAAAGTCCTTTTTCAGAGTTGATCCTAGTCACCCCATCAAGAGCGATAAGAGAGTTATTTGTTAAATGAGACGTCTCTTTACCCAGTCATTCGTGCAAATGGATCAGGTGTATGCCATTCTAAATACTCCAACACAATGCAGCAGCTAAGGACTCTGACCAGACAGCTGGGGCTCAAACAGACCAGGTGCTTTTTCCCCAGAGCCTCAGTATCCCTGTCATCAACACAGAGCCAATAGCGCTGAACTCGTGGGATTATTACAAACATAGCCTCATTCACTGGATAGTCATAGATAGTTAGCACAAATGTCTATTATTAAGCACCTACTGTGTGCCCCGAACCTTGGGATACACTGATGAAAACTAAGATTCTATTCCCAGGAGTTGCGGCCCAGCATCTAGACTATAGACCACAAAGGGGTAAACAAACACACCAGTAAGATAACGAGAGACTAGGTGTTGTCTTGAAGATGGGTGGTCAGTCGGGAAAGGCTTCTCTAGAGGCGTGGTGATGTCACAGGGACTACCTTTTGATGAGAAGATGTGGGCCTTGCAAGATTCTGAGGAAAGGGCCTATCGGGTAGAGGAAGTGGCGCAGAGGTCCGGGGCCAGGACTGAGCTCAGTATATTCAAAGGACAAGAGCAGCCAGCCCAGTGACCGCTGGGTAGTCAGTCTCTCTATATGGAGGTATTTTGCAGGGGTTCAGTGAGCTGTGCTCTTAAAGTCCTTGTGGCCCTACCCTTCCTCTATCTGAGAGGGGCGTCCTTTCCCCAAGAGAGCTAGGAGGAGGCCATGGAGACGGCCCAGCAGGTAAGGGCACTAGCCACCACGCCTGATGAACGGAGTTCAATGCCCAGGACCCCTATGGTAGGAGAGAATCAACTGACTCCTGAAACTGACCACACAGGCACACAAACACACACAACCACATATTCACAAATATAAACACACACCACACACAAAGTACATGTACCACATACACCAGACACACCACACACACACACACACACACACAGATACATAAGCACACCACACATATACCCATAAACATAAAAACACACCACACACACAAACACACAGATACACAAGCACACCACACCACACATATGTACATAAACATAAAAACACACCACTCATACCACAGAGACACACACATACATCATACACACATACCACACATACAAAACACACACATGTACCACACACAATCATACATCACATGATACACACAATCATAAACGCCCATGCGTGCACACTAAATAAAGTGTTAGGAGGAGAGCCAAAGGCCTGGCTGCTCTGACAGAAGCTCGCAGGCTCTCCTGAAGGAACTGCCTCTCAGGCTCCCAGGACCCTGTTAGCTAGGCTGCCGCTTCCTCAGTCACCATCGGTGGCTCCTCATAAGGCCGAGGCTGGAGAGGAAGGGGGCAGGGCTGCTGCAGAGGGCCAAGTGGCCTTACAGCATCTGTTCTCTGGACGCTGCCCGAGGCTGGGCCTGGCAGAAGGAGAAGCATGGCGCCAAGGACAGGTGCACACAACCCGCACCCTTGGTGGCTTACTTGGGATGCTCCATGTTCACCTCCAACACGAGGTCAGGAGGGATTTCAAAGACCTCTGGATCTCGACCGTCGGCCTGCAGGACCAGAGGCAGCACGTCGAAACGGCCATGGCGGGGTTTCCAGCCCAGGTCGATGCACAGCTGACAGAGAGAGGAGCCCAGTAAGTCTCCGGGCCCAGACACTGCATCTGCTCTGGGTTCCCTGCCCGAGGGACCCGTCAGAGGCCGGATAGGTACCTGAGTGAACTCCAAGTTGGCAGGGTCCCCCTTGATGGTGCCATCGGGCATCTGGTAGCCAGCGTACCGGATGAGCTGCGAGTTCCAGATCCGGAAGTCATGCTTCCCATCGCTCCGTTGGGGGAACACGGTGATGGCCGACCTTCCCCGGGACAGGGACATAGCGGTTTACCAACTGCGGGTTGGTGGGACAGGGACTCCCAACCATCCTCCCTCCACTCTTCCCCCTCTGCAGTCCCTGTACCCCAATCAGACTGAAGTCACCCCCTGAGCTCTCCTCCTGCCACCAGCTTCTCCCTGTCCTTCAAGACCAACAAGAAGAGTGTCACTCTGGGCAGTCTCATGCCCCTTCCACACCGCTGGCCTTCACTGATGGATGATTCTCTTCCCACAGTTGGTGGTTGCTCAGCACAGGTTTGCAGCTGGATTCTGGGGTCTCAGTCACCTCTGTATCCCACCCTGCCTCCTCCTTTTCATTGGCCCTGGCCTAGTCCTGTGCTGAGTCCCCATTAGGTGTGTACCAAGTGGTTTTTGCTGCACACAAAAATGAGTGAGTGAGAGCTTGAGCGCATTGTTCTGTCCTATCCGTGGTGTGAACAGAGAGGGGCAGGGACTGACAATGCCACGCACTGAGTGCTCTCTCACATTTAATAAAACACCACAGCAAAGCCATGTCCAGGAAACCAGAGTCTCCTTCGCAACCCGGAAAGAAGGACCTTCTATTTGTTTGTTTGTTTTTGAGACAGGGTCTCACTGTGTAGCTCTAGCTGCCCTGGAGCCCAATATATAGACTAGGTTAGCCTCGAACTCACAGAGATCCATCTGCCTCTGCCTCCTGAGTGGGTTCTTTTTAAAACAAGACAAGGCCTGTCTATGTAGCCCACACTGGCCTGGAACTCATGGCAATCCTCCTGCTTCAGCCTTTCTACTGCTGAGATTACTGATATGTACCACCATGCCCAATCAACATTTTTTTCTGTTTTGATGTGCTTTTGAGGCAGGGACACATGGAGTCCAGACTAGCCTGATACATGCTATATAGCCAAGAGTGAGCTCTTGATCCTCCTGCTTCCACCTTTCCAAGTGCTTAGAGAGCAGGCATGTGTCACCATGGCCTCCTAGAAGTGCTTCTGAAGGATGTAACTGTCCCATGGTTCTAAGTTAGAAGGAAAAATAGAAAAGAGCTGGGCCTGTGACAGAGGCTAGTGGGGAGCAGGCTGCTCTCACCATTCCATGTCCTAGAGAGGCTAAGTTTTTTTCTTTTCTCTCTCCCCAGTTTCTCCAGGAGCCAGAGGCCCCTCCCCTAAGCCCTTTGGCCTCTTCTGCCTGAGACTGGCAGGGTGAGCCCAGCATAGCCGGGAAAGGCGCCTCACCTGATGTTGCCATTGTTGGTGGCGTAAAGCACATGTCTGCAGATATGCTGGAACATGTCCTGGGCAGTGCTACAGCTGCGGGCATCAAAGACCTGCATGGGGCACACCCAGACCGTGAAAGGCTGTGAGGACAGAGGCTCGGGGCTGGCTGAAAGTCCGCTGCCCGGCAAACATGGATGTCACACCCTCCTCTCTCCATCCCCAGTGCCCATCACTGCTGTTCTTGAGACAGGAGAACAGAGAATTCCACTCAGGAGACCCCAGTAAAACCAAATTACCAAGAGCATCTGGCTTTGAAGAACCAAAAGGCTCCACAGCCCCGGCCTGGATCTTTGCCATGGGAGAGTGTACCACCGTTGAGCCTCCTGGATTTTCTCAGGCCAAGAGCACTCAATAGGACCCAACAAAAAATAACCCTCCAGGGAGACGATGGCCTAGCAGTCTAGGATAAATAAAATGCTCTCTAGGAGCCAAGAACGCAAACACTGGAGGCAAACACTTTCAGCAGCAAGGCCTCAGGAATCAGACATCCAAGGTTGCTGTTTGTTTCATGGTGGCATGTGGTCTCCCACGCTTCACACGAAGTGGGTCATTCAGAGACTCTGGCACTAAAATAAGATTCCAGGCTCTTAGGAGGAGAACCGGAACACCCCATCTTAGGGCTTGGCTGCGCTCTGCAGAGCCCTGGCCACTTGCTCTGCCTTGGAGCCTGTCCGTTCCCGCTCCTTCTCCCACTCTGCCCAGAGAGTTCACCTGCAGGTTGGCCCACTGGATCCTGCCAATGCAGCGGGGGGCGTTCCTCCAGGCCAGCTTGGTGGCAAAGATGAGCTCATCCAGCGTCAGCTGGTAGGTTCCTGTTGTTTCTATCTCCTTTGTTACAGCTTCCACCCTGGCCAGATGTTCCTCTATTTTTGCCCTGGGGGACAGGAAACTGTCAGGAAGATCAACAATGGCTGGACCTCACATGGGGATTAATTCATTCCCCAGAGATCGAGAACTGATTTTGGACATCGCAAGGGAAAACTGTCCCCCTTAGGACACTAGCCTCTGTAGAGCTGGCTTTGTGACCCACTTTTAGTTTTTTAATGCTCAGTCATCGCTATCTTGAGGCTCTTAGTCTTGTTGGAACAAAACCACACTTTTGCCTCTACCCCGGCCCCTGCGCGTTGTTGTGACAAAGTCTTGTTGTGTGGCCCAGGCCAGCCCAGAACTTCTAATCCTCCTCCCCCACCTCCCAAATCCCTGGGAGTGCAGATGCCTGCTACCACAGGTAACTTAGGAGCGACTGCTGTGTTTGCTTTGCAATCAAAGGTCTTAAGACGCCAGAGTGGCCAGTGCTAGGCCCAAGAATACAAGCATGGTAACACAGAAGTGAGGGCACAGACCCAGTGGTTTCAAGGTCAACCCCAGGCTCCTAACAGTCTGCAGCCAACGGGACCATCCGCCTTCCATCCACCAGGAAACTGCAAGCCTCGAGGGTTCCTCAGAAAGCAAGGCAGGCCCAGACAAGACCCGAGGTCAGGACTCAACTTGAAGGGCCCTAAGGCCCACCCAGAAGAGCCACAGTCAGTGATTTAAGCATACTTCAGAATTATTCCAAGGGAGAGGAACTTGGTCACGAAGACTTCAGAACACACCCACACACTTGCCACAGCAACCTGGAGATTTCTAAGCAGCACCACCATATTTCGAAACGGCAACAAAGAAAATTATTTAAAGAATGAACTTGTGATTAAGGGCAACGGAGGACTGGGAATGAAGCTGCCTTTGGGGCAGGCGGAGGGTCTTGGCAACTGGTTTTTTGATTACATAAAGACTTGAAGATGAAACATTCAGTGATGTTCGTCCTCAGTGATCCCTGTAAGGGGGAACTTCTGGGTGAGGTTGGTGTTTTCATCGGCAGAGAAAGATTCTAGAAATATTCCTCACTCTGTGCCCAAGCATGAAGGCAGCAGTTTTCACAGTTAGGGAACAGTTAGTAAAACTCTTAGTAATAACAGTTAATAAAAGGAGAAAGATGAACTCTTGGTACCATTTACCCAAGAGTGGACCTGATTCCTTTGGAAGAACTTGGGCCTCTCCTGTTGTAATCTAAGAAGTGGACTGGTTCTGAGAAAAGCCTTTCTCTATATGTGATGAACAGCACAACAACTACAGTAGCAAGAAGGAATGGGGAGCCTTTGCCTTAACCAGTCTTTCACAGGAGTCTCAGGAGGGAGACAACTGTTTTTCTGGCCTTCCTGACTCAGAACAGCTTCCACAGAACCAAGCCACAGTCAGCCTTCATCCCTTTATACCCACATGTAACTTCCAGGATAGTCTGTGTCGGGAAGCATGGCTCTCACACGGTTATAAACGATCTCAGGGCATGTTATTGGCTTGGCTACAGCTTGGATGAAAGTTTGATTTGGAGAGGCAAGCTTTAAGCAGCTCTTCTCTGAAAAACCCACTCCCACACACAGTAACACCACAGCTTCCAACATCCATGAGAATATTGACACATGTGGGAACATATAAAAAGGATGACCTTTAAAAGAATCTGATAAATTAATTTTTTTGTGTTTCTTAAGTGTTTTGTTTTTGTTTGTTTTGAGTCAGGGACTTGCTCTTAAAATTATTTTTCATGTTTTCTCCCAGTTCCCTTAGATTTTTCCATTGTTGTTTTGTTTTGAGATCGAGTCTCGCTAGGTAACCTTGGCTGCCTTAGAGTTCACTCTGCAGACCATGCTGGCCTCAAACTCACAGAGGCCCTCCTGCCTCTGCCTTCAGGGTGCTGGGATTAAAGGCATGTGCTGTCACGCCCACCGAATTTTAATTTTATCATTTTCTTTTACTGTTTTTCCTCCTCTGTTCTTCCCTCCTTTCATTTGTGCTACCAGGGACTGAGCCCTAGGGTGCCAGACTAGGCTATATCCTCAGCCCCTGGCTGCCAGCACTTATTTCTCTAACCTTTTATTCTGAGATAGGGTCTCACCGTGTTGCCCGGGCTGGCTGGAATTCACCCTGTCACTAGGAAGTCCTTGAACTTGGAATCCTCCTACAAGGACCTTGGTCTCCAGGGTAGCCTGTACCACCAGGCTACCTTACACACTAAATGATTTCTCATGGTCATGTTTCTGAGTCACTAGGAATGCATCTCTTAGCTCTGAAAAGGAGTGGTCTTTGTATCAGCATCCGATTGGATGGTCACTCTCAGAAGGTCAGACGCTCCAAAGGTCCTGATATTCTGCATATATAGATGTCTGAGCCCACTCTACTGGAGTGGGCTCCAGTACAGCCCCCTTCAGCTGCTGGCGTCCCTGTGGGGACAAACCCTTGTTCATCACCTCGATCCCAGAGCCTCTGAGGGACCAAGATATGGACTTGTGACTGTGGAAAATGAGAAGTAAAGACATTTGCCAGTCACTGAGCACAGCTCTGTTAGCCTTAATGCTAACTGGGTATCTCAACTCCAAAAAGAGTCAGTATCCTCATGGGCCAAAGACCCCCATGCCAGGGTACTTAGGTTAACAGCCAGGGTCCCAGCACCAGAAGCCTGGGCTCCAAATGTGCATCTTCAAGCAAGTCCTACGTCCTCCGGAGACCTGCTCCCGGGTCTCTAGAGAGGCAGTGACTGCGCCTGGCTCTCAGAATTAACACAGCAACTTGGAGTTTTTTTTGTGTGCTTGGTACCAAATATAAATAAATAAATAAATAAATAAATAAATAAATAAATAAATAAATAAATAAATAAATAAATGGAAAAACAACTGGACAGATGAGGCCTATCTAGAAAAATCCCAGACCCCCAAATGGCCACTTCTTAACAACTTAGCGGGAAGATCAAGGAAACTGTAAAGTTCAATGCCACAGAGTCCCAGATACACACTCACAGAACAGACAGTACCCCCATGGGCCTCCACCCTTCACAAGACCACAGAAAGCCCTTCCCAGGGCCAGGGGACCAGGCATCAGCATCCCGCAAGCTCCCAGGTAAGGTTGGGAAGCACTGATCTGGAAGATGGGGCCTCTGGTCAAGCGCCCTGCCAGCGCTGGCCTTCTGGAGCTGAAAGTAGGTGGAGCAGGTATCACCAAGAGCAGCAATTTCTTCTCTGAGTCCCAGAGACCCTCTGTGTCTCACGCCCCAGGCGGAAGTGCTGTATGAGACCGTGCCACAAAATGACACTGCCACAGTGTCTCCAGCTGCAGAGAAGACGCTCACTATCTTGGCCAGTCATTCTTACAGCTGGCCGGGGTAAGTTACGTAGTCACACAACAGTCTTCCAGATTCAGGCATTATCACGAGTACCTGTCACCGCAGCACGCAGAAGGACAACTGTGGGCTAAAGCCAGGCTTCCCTATTTCATGAGATGCTGTCTCAAAAACCTACAGTGACGGACCAGAGGGATGGTTCATCAGGTAAAGACTCTTGTCACCAGGTCTGATGACCTGAATCAACCCCAGGAATCCATCCTACGGAAGGAGATGCCCGAGGACCACAGATTGCCCTCTGACAGAATCCATCCTATATAAGGAGATGCCCGAGGACCACAGACTGCCCTCTGACGGAATCCATCCTACAGAAGGAGATGCCCGAGGACCACAGATTGCCCTCTGACGTTCACACCCTTGCTGTGTATGGTTCAGGCACCCCGTTCTCCAACAAGCAAACAGATGTTTACAAAATTGAATAAATACAATGATAACTAAGACTTCAGTTGCATTCATTCCAGGCCAGCACTATTCTTAGCTATTTGTAGCTTCTAATTCATTTAATCTTCATATAAACTCCTACAAGGTGGGTGTATTATAACATATTTTCAGGCAAGAAAACCAAGGCATGGAGAGAGGAAGGAACTTGCCTAGTTTTGAACCCAGGTAGGTGGTTACCTGGACCCCAACTCTTATCCATGCTCCACAGCCTCTCCTTGATCACAATTGTATGTACTGACAACAAAATTGGCAACTAGCAATAAAAACAAAACAAAAAAAATCTTTGTATTCTAGGCTGGACCATGCTTGGTGCTTAGAGTGACAGACAGGCAGGCAGGCTGGCTGGCAGACAGACAGACAGACTGACTGACTGACTAAAGAATAAAGGAGTCTGGTCACTGGACTCACAGAAGCCCTGTGGGGTAAAAGGATAAGAGAGCTCCAGGAGTGTGGCATCTACCAAGTCAGGTCTCCTGGACTCTAGCTTAGACTAGGATGGTGTCAGGGCTGCCTCTGAGAATCTTGTTCACATCTGCAGGAGGAAAGGCCTGACCAGGTAGTCTCTAAACTTTCGTCTACTTCAGAATAAAAGGATCCATTCTGAGTCACAGCCCTTAGGCTAGGACACGGTTCTAAACTTGCACAAATCTCACGGCTGTCTAATGAACCATGCCATAAGATCCCCAATTTACAGATGAGGAAGTTGAGGCCCAATGGATTTCCCCAGAACTTAGCAATGGTCTGTGGTGGAGCCAGAGCCCAAAGCCACTTACACTCTCCCCTGTCCTTTTAGACACCGCAGTGCCTAAGCCTCCTCCAGGGTCTGCTGTGGGCCTGGAACCACAGCACGGCTGAAGACTGCGGAGTTCCGGGGTCAGAGTGGAACAGTTCAAGACAGCCCGGGGAAGGGGTGGGGCAGATGTCACCCTGATGGAAGCCAGACTTACTCTTTGAAGGAGCCATAATACTGGTTGATAAACTCAATGGCTTGAGGCAGAAGCTCCTCCAGTGACGTGGGCTTATCTCTGGGTCCTCTGGTCAAATTCTTGGGGTTCATGATGGACCCCAAGCAAGATTTAGACCTGCAAGTGAAATCCTGGAAAGAAAAATAGGGGGTGAGTAGGCTTCCCATTTTTCCTTCCCGCCCCCAGCCAGTCACCTGAACATCCTCTGAGTCAGCTCACAGTGACTCTAAGCAGGCCCTTTCTCCTCAAGGGTCAACCAAGCTGTCTCCCAGCCTTGCCCTTTCTCTTTTCCTGAGACTCGGTGAGTGTGAGTGAGCTGGTTCCTCTCTGTCCCTGTTCTCCAGGCAGCTAGGATGCAGGGCCAGCCTCATAAAAACTTCACAGCTTCCTCCTGGGAGACATCTCACCTGCTTTCCTTTCTAAAGAGACTCGGCTGGTTCCTGTGTGAACATGGTTTTAAGTGTCAGTTAGATGAGAAAAAGAATGTCCCAAAGTTGGGGGAGGCATGGAAAGAAATGTCAGAAAGATATCAACTGTAGTGTTTCTCTGTTTTGCTTTGTTTTGAGGTTTTGGTGTTGTTTTTGAGAAAAGATCTTATGTGGCCCAGGCTGCCCTCAAACTCACCTTGAACCCCAACCCCCTCCTGCCTCTATCTCCCGAACTGGGACTGCAGATACAGTTTCTGAGGGGCTCAGGAAATCATCCTGCCTTCACAGGCTTTTTGTTTCTTTCCCAATTTATAACCACAGCATGAATTCCTTTTTTTCTTTCTCTCTCCTTTGTTTTGTTTTGTGTTTTGTTGTTGTTGTTTTGAAACAGGGTCTCCCTGTGTCGCTCTGGCTGTCCCAGAATAGACCAGGCTGGCTTTGATCTCACAGACGTTTGCTTGCCTCTTCCAAGTGTTGGAATTAAAGGTGCATACCACTCAGCCTCCTAGTGTGAGTTCGAGTCAGAGTGAGAAGCTTAGAGACAGAAAGGAGCCTCCCAGCATGGTTAGTTCCTGCTCATTGGCTGCTAGAACCACCATTACCTCCTGTTCAAATAGCACTTGAATCCTTCCAGAGACAGGAAACTCATGTTTCCTCCCTTAGTTCAGTCTAGCTCTGGGCAATTCTAACGGCAATTCTCAGATACTCTTGAGATCTAAGAAAAGAGTAACTGCTTTCTGGAGGCTTTTGTCTGATACCCAAGGCTATTTGCTGTCTACCCAGTAGTTAACAGGAATCTCCTCTTACTTGCTTCCCAGTGTAATTTATGAAGACAGACTTCCCAACATCTTTTGTCTGAGATGATGGCTGTCTAGAAAGTCAAAGGAGTATGTGATGGACCCGCAAAGGGCCCTTATGGTACCCTAGCTGAGACAAAGGCACTGCTCCCCACAACCCCAGACTTCTTACCGACGTAGCCTTGTGGTGAAGGGTGTCTTGCAAAATCTCTCCACTGCCCCAGTTTTTGATCTTCACATGCTGTGGGCGGGTCGATGGAGGCACGTGCACCTTGTCCAGGGATTTTGGAACATTCTAAGATAGGTAAACATCCAGGGTTTTCCAAATGCTTGTAACCCCAACAACCATAGAGTGTCCCCTGGACCTCTGTACGCTGCTTGGGTGAGAGGCGGAGCTTTGTGTGGGCACACAAGGCCAGTCCTCAGTCCACCCTTCCCAGGAGTTGGGTCAATGCCAGCTGAGCACTGCAGGTGGCTGGACCCGGGCCAGGCTTCTGTCCTTACCAAGGCCTGGCCAGTGCTGGCTCACAAGGGGAATTCAAGTTAGATGGGGCGGGGGGCACTGCTGCAGCTGGGATTGCCAAGGACGGAGCTGGGAAGTTAACAGATACTCCACTGTCTTGCTTCCCCCAGAATACCTTTCCCCGTCTCCATTCATCATTCTGCCACCTCTCCACGGTCTAGGATAGAGAGGGCTGCAGGAAGATGGGATCCACAGCCAGGGGCTGAGACTAGTGGCTCAGTAGCTGAGTCTGAGACCATTCTGGCCCATCCCACCCCTGATTCCATGAATGGTCTTAAACTGCCCCAACCCGTGCTTTTAACCACCAGACAAGTTATCTGGGTGCCAGTGCACCCTGGGGACCTCCACTTCCGATCATTAAGACTTTCTTATTGTTCACAGCACCCTTGGTTCCCTGGGTACCCCGGGTCTGCATTGCTCTGCTTACTCCCCAGCCCTTGGCTTCCTAGATCCTCCTGCTCAGCCACCAAGGGGCTGTTTAGCCTGAATCCCCCAAGTAGAAGAAAGAAGGGGCTCCCCATAGTATGACCAAATTACTGACCTGTGTTGTCCCAGTGAGGGGCTGGGGAGAAGCATTTTGGTGCTTGGCAGGTCTGTGACTCTTAAGGTCATCCTGTGTTGTTAGGCTGTGAAGAGAAAGTGTTATCATGAGATAGAGTCTGTGAATGGAGGGGATCTTGGGTGGCCGCTGTGAGTCCCAGTCTGGCAGATGCGGCATTGGTGGCTAGAGGTGGGAATGACCTGTTCCTGGCTTCCAGACAAAAAGGATGAGTGAGCCAGTCTCAGAGAATCTTGTCACCACCTTCCCTCGCCATCTTTTCTTTGACCACTCAAAGTCAAAAATGGTATGAGGGGAGCCGGCCAAAACTGTTCAGACAGGAGCCATACCCGGATGCTCTGGGGAAATGCCCTTCCCAGAAAGCCAAGTGCAAATGCTCTGACAGCCCAGCTCTCCCCAGCCAGCAGAGTACACCACTCACCACCTACTCAGCCTAGTGAAATTTCTGTGTGTGTGTGTGTGTGTGTGTGTGTGTGTGTGTGTGTGTGTGAGTGTTGTTTCTTTTTTATGTAGACCAGACTAGCCTCGAACTCACCTCCGGAGCGCTGTGATTAAAGGCGTGCATCACCATGCCCTGCTCATCTCTTTTATTTAAAACCCTTAATTTAAGCTGGGCATGGTAGTACATGCCTGGAATCCCAGCAGCTGGCAAGTGGTGACATAAGGATCAGGAGTTCAAGGCCAGCCTCCACTACAAAGAAAGTTCAAAACCAGTCTGGTATACATGAGAACCTACAAAGTACACGAACTAACCCCCGAACCCTTAATTTAGTTTTTTTTTTTTACTCTGTATACTACACTGGCCTCCAACCTGCCTGGGCTTCTTGAGTGCTGAGATTACAGGCCCAAGCTACAATGCCTGGCTACTCCAAGTATTTATCTTGTAAAGAGTGACAGGAACAGGGGCTGGAGAGACAGCTCAGCGGTTAAGAGCTCTGGCTGTTTTTCCAGAGGACCCAGGTTCAATTCCCAGCACCCACGTGGCAGCTCCCAACTGTCTGTTATTCCAGTTCTAGGGGGTCTGACACCCTCAGGCAGACATACATGCAGGCAGAACACCAATGTACATAAAATAAAACACTAAACTATTAAAATAAAAAGAGTGAAGAGAATAACAGGCAGGTATGGATGGCACACACTTATGATTCTAACACCTGGCAGGAGGATTAAGGGTTCAAGGTCAGCTAAAAAAGGGCATTAAAAGCTAGTTTGGGCTATATGACCCCTATATGATGCCTGTTTTAAAGAAGATAAAGATAAAATTAAAATAATTAGTGGGGGGTGGAAGGGGAAAGAGCCAGACATGCACGATTTTAATCTCAGCACTTAGAATGTGGATCTTTGAATCTGAGACCAGCCTGGTCTATAAAGTGAGTTCCAGGACAGCCACGGTTACACATCCATACACTCAGGCAAAACATACACACACACATGAAATAAATAAATCCAAGACAAAACAACCCCCCAAACTCCAGTCATGCAGCAATAAGTCGCCTCCCGGTCCCCTCCTGAGGTTTCATGGTTCAGCTTTACCTTCAGCAAGAATCCTGTTAGGTCAGTTCAGCCAGAGTCTCCTTTACCTTTCTCTGACTGTAACTCCCCCTCGCCTCTGTGGTGTCTCTCCCTCCTCCCTCTGCTGTGGTGGGGCCCTGCTGACCTGAGGGAGTCCTGAGAGAAATCCTCCTTGTGGCATGTTATTGGGTATCACTAAAGCGGGACATGCTGACTTCTCCGGAACCCCAACACTCACGTGAGGCGGGAGAATTGCTTAGCCTGGGCTGTGTAGTGAGGGGCTGGCTCAAAACGCAAAACAAAACAACAGACAGACACCCCTACAAAAACAAACAAGATCACGGAACAATTCTTGCTTGCTTGCTTGGGTTTCATGTACCTCCAGCTGCCCTTGAACTCTCTACTAAGCTGACCATGACCTGGAGCTCCTGCCTCTTCCTCCTAAAGTCTGGGATTACTGGCATGTATCGCCACACCCAGACAAATGGTTTTTTCTTTAACATGCTCCTCTGGTCTGGACTGGTCTGCCTCACCAGAAAGAAAGAGAAGCCAAGATTTGCTTTCTCACCTTCTTCCTTCTCCCAACCCTTCACCACAGCCCATCCTGGGCTTCACAATTTGGGGGTTTAAATGAGGAACATCCGAGGAGCCATAGTAATAGACTTAAAAGCAACGGCACTGTCTACTTACGTGCCTCCCCTAAACGCCAAGATGCATTAAACTCTGTCTGAAACCCCACCGATGAGCCTCAGTTAGCCTGGCCCCAGGGCCCACAGCTGCATGCTTAGGTTATGCCTAACGCCTCAGACTGGGTGGCCCTATGGGCGACAGCCTGAGCGTATATGCATGCAGTGTGTGTGTGTGTGTGTGTGTGTGTGAGAGAGAGAGAGAATGTGGGCGCCAGCAGGCCTGGAAGCACCTGGGGGGAACGCCGGTAAGGTTCACAAATGCTTAGCATGATGTGGTTAAGTCACCGGCAATTTATCTTTCTTTCTTTTCAACTTTAAGTATCTTAAAAGTTTTTGTTGTTGGTGTTTGTTTTTTAAAATAATTTTTAAAATAACTGGGATTTTAAAATAATTTTTCAAGGACTTTTATAATTGGGATTAAGAAAAAAAAAATGCAACAGTGAATGAACAGAGCTTTGCCTCAGCTTCTGCGTCCTGCCACCGCTTAGCAGATTTCTTCTGCTTGCTCCGGCCCATAGAGCCATCTGCAGTCATGGAACTAGGTGCAGAGCGGGGAGAGTAGACTCCACAGCCGCGTTAGTTAGGGTCTTGAGTCCCGCCACTGCGCGGCTCCTGGCCAGCCCACCTCTCCTGCGAGAAGGAGAATGTCTTATTGGAAAAGATCATCTTTTCCCTCTTAACCGTGTTTGCCTAGAGCGCAGCAAGAAGGGGGAGTGCAGCAAGGCACGGGGGCAGGGAAGTGGAAGAGCACTGGATTAACCCGGGCCACACGCCTGTAATCCCAGCACTTGGGAAGCCGAGGCAGAAAGATTTCCAGGTCTGAAGCCAACCTATCCACACAGCCAGAACCTGTCTCAAGGCAGCGCGGCGCACGAGTTCCTCGGTGCCTCAGCCCCCGCTGGACGACACGCGTGGACGCTCTGCGCGCTCCCTCCGGAGTCCCAGCGAGGCCACCTGGGCGCCCAGCGCCCTCGCTGCTCCCCAGGCCCCGCGCGCCGTACCTGGCTGGGCCCACGCGCCGGGCCACCTTCGGGCCAAAGATCCTGCGCAGGAGGCGACAGAGCCGCGGCCGGGCGGCGTCGCACGCGCCGCTCAGCCCCTCGCGCATAGCTGGGCCTCCGCCCCTCGCTGGCGCGGTCCTTTTATCGCCGCGGGAGTCCGCGGCGCCCGCCCCCGCGGCGCCCGCCCACCGCCTGCGAGCCGGGTTCCGCTCCGACCTAGGCAATTCTTCACTACCTCTGTTCTGCTTCTGAGGCAGAAGCTGGGGGACCAGAGACCTAAGAGATCCTGCTCGAGGCCACGCAACAGCCCCGGGGCCATCTCTGCCTCTGCCTTGTTAGAACACTCCAAGGAAATGCTCTCTCCTTCCTTCCGGGCCAGGTGGAGTAGAGATGAGGCCGTCAGGGACCCTCCGGGCCGGTATCTCAGCAAACGAAACCCCAAGCCTAAATTACGGTGCAAGGAGTGTTTCAGTCACTAAGGCTTAGCTTAACTCGGAACAGCCTGTGGTCCATGCAGAGGGACCCACACTTACCCCCTGTCTCTGCACATGCACGGGCACAGCCTGTTTACACGAAGTTGAAAGCCACCAGGGACAGGCTCTTGGTTCGCAGAGATTCGAAAATTACGTTTTAAAATCAAAATAAATAACAGGCCCCGGCTGCTTTCAGACTAAAATCCCCTTTGTAAGCTGCTTCCTCTTCCAGGAACACCCTCTGGCCACCTTCCCTGGGCAGTCCCATTTTAGCTGGGCCCTCTCCTCCAGAAAGCCACCTGCCACCCATTATTAGCCTGCCTTGACCCCACAGCCGGGCAGTGCCCTTAGAAGACATAACAACACACCCTATTTCTCTCCCTTGCCTGACTCCACTCCTCCCCCCCCCCCCCAAGCTCTAACATCTCCTTTGCCAGGACTGCCCCACACTAGGGAGGATGCCATCGCCCCCCACTGCCCTCCCCGACTGTGCCCATTGGATCTCCTTTTCTCTTTCTCAGACCAGTATAGAGCAGGTCCTCAGAGACAGCACGTGGAGTGTAGAATATGGACTTGGCTCAAATCTCAGCTCCTCCACTTTCTAGCAACTAGCCTTGTTAGACAAGATTAAAAAAAAAAAAAAAAAAATAAAAGAACAAAACAAAACAGTTCCTGCCTTGTTTTGACGTAGTATTAAGTACGCTATACATACGTGTGAATGTGTTTGCAATTAATAAATAGTTCGGTCAATCCATTGATTAAGCAGAAGGGCCTTGCTGACGTATTGACCGGCAGCATAGTGCCAGGTAAGCGAGCTTTGATTGTTAATTGATGGGATAAAGCTCATCCTGGGCCTACAGTGTGGCAGCCAGGCTAGTGAGCATAAGACAGACGGTCCAGTTTGAATGCCAGCTCTACTGTTTGCCAAATATGAGATTAAAAAAAAATTTTTTTTTATGTATGGGTGCTCTATCTGCATGTACACCTGCAGGCCAGAAGAGAGCACCAAATCTCATTATAGATTGTCGTGAGCCACCATGTCGCCTTCCCTAAAGTGGAAGGATAGCAGGCAACCTTCCCGGTGGTCAGAGGGTACACCCTCTATCTGGGCAGGGTGGAGCCTCAGTGTGGTGACAGGCAGTCGGCAGCTAGCACAGACTTTGGAGTGGGGCCGTGACTTGCATGAAGTCAAGTTGAAGGGAAAGAGGTGTGGGGTCAGCTGGATTCTGGACGGGCAGAGGCAGGGCTCTTGGGGACCAGGTGAAGAGAAGGAGGGGAGGAAGTCACAGCATTTTGAGACCGAAGTGCTATCCGGGTGGCTAAAGGCCATCAGTGCAGCTTGTGCATTGTACAGTCCTCTCCAGCTCAGTCTGCCTCCTTTAACCCTACCATGATCACTCTTTTCCTAGAAGGAGTAAATGGAGGTTTGGAGGCTGAGAGACTTGACCAAAGCCACAGGGTTACGAAGTGGCAAAGCTGCTCCCTTCTGCCTAAGCTCGCTTTCTAACCCTGGCTGCACCAGAGCAGGGAAATCTGCGGCTGCTCCGCTCACTGCCTGCAGGGGTCGCTGCCCACTGCAGTCCTGCAGATGTCTGAGCCAGGTGCAGCTGAGGCTTGGATTTGAGATTGCAGATAAAGTCATACTGAGTTAGCCTCAAGTCCCGGGCTACGGCTGTGGACACCTAGCATGCTCTAGAATTCTCCGAGCCGGTCCATCTAAATTGTTTCTTGAGGACCAGCTCAGTTCTAAGATGCACCAGGCCAACCTCAGATTTCATCTCTGTCATTAGGAGTCACGCAAGCCACACACCCCCTAACCTCGTTTGCAGAATGAGACCACAGCGAAGAACCCCATGGGGCCAATTCTACACGCACCGTGTAGTCCTGGCGACAAAGAAGCCTCGGTAGATGGTGGCAAACCCTCCTGTTCATCAAGTGCCGGTGACATGCGGACACACTTCAGTGTGCCTTCTGTATACCTCACTGTCCCCAGCATGTTGTCAGGTAGGTCACAGATCTGCCTGAGACCCGGACGGGTGGGCTGCCCGACGTCACCGTCAGTGAGGACAGCGCAGGGCCGTCCTGACACCCTTCAGTTGTCTAGTAGTCAAAATAGCTAACAACCGGTGAGGCACATGCCCTGGCTAGCCAATCAGGATGCCACCTGAGCTGACCACTAGGCTCTCCAGCCTCCAGACTCACATATTTCCCCCTCTTCTTTCTCCAGAGGGTCCAGACTCTCTCAGGAGCAGCACGGGGGCCCTAGGCCTTCCTTCTACACACGGTAGCTGCATTCTCCAGCAGAGAATCACAAGCAGTGGCTCGGGGACAAGCTTCTCTTGGCAGGCTGGGAGCAGAGGGAGGCAGCAGAGGCATGGAAGGCCTGAGGAGACAGCTGCTTACCTGAGAACGGCCATGGGGGCTTTCCCCACATTGTTGTTAATGTCCTTTTCCTCCTTCAAGTTGCCTTTTGATTTGATTCTGAAGAAAGACTTCCAGGGGCAGGTCATGTCAGTGGCTTTGTTCTCTGTGGGGCTGAGGAAGGGGAGGGAGGCTGTGAGGGGAGGCTGAAGAAGAGCCTGACAGAACAGCCCTCTCACAGGTGCTAGTGTCCCCGGGAAAGCAGACAAGACCCAGTTAAAGGCTTGCACTGCCGCTCTCTCTGTGCTTGCACTGTGGGTTTTTAGTTGGGGTTAGGGGTTGAAATCCTGTTCTGCAAAGACCCACAACAAACCAAAGGAATGACACTGGGCGCCAGGTAGCCACACAACCAAAGACAGAGCAAGCGCCTGCCAGCCTCCTTAAGGAGGTGCCCCCTCCACCCGGTTCCGAACTTTCTAGAACGTTTTTCTTTGCGGCATAGTCACCACAGTGAATACTTGCAGAGGAGAAATCTAACCAAGATGCCCTGTTCAGCTGGCAGGACCCTCCTGTGGCTGCTCTGCCCAGACCTCCCGGCAGCTCTGGTCCATCCACCAAACAAACAAAACAGAAGGCTCTTCCGAGCTCTCCCAAACAGGGAGACACTCCCGGGAGCAGCTGTCCCCAGCACAGGGCTCACCTTGCAGTTGGCTAGGCTGCTCCGTGGGGTGGGCGAGACCCGAGCCTGAGGAGCCTCAGAAGCCTGTCTGTTGGCCCGGTCCCCTCACCAAGGTGGCTGAGGAGTGTTAAGGCAGCGATACGGCGTCTCTGGGACCAGAGATTCAGGCTTGGGCTCTCTGTGAGGCTGTGCCCCTGGCAGCAGCTGGCAGGTATTTATACCCTCTATGCTGCTCCCCAGAGCTGCTTTGCATGAGGTCTGTTCCCAAAGGGACAGTCCCAATGGTTGTGCAGTTATCTCAGTTAGGGACACTCCTAGTCTGTGTGCACGATGACATCACCCTGTGGTGTATCCTCAGCAAGGACACCTCTTCCTGGTCACTGGTCCAAGGCAGTGGCCAAGTGGCCACTTCAGCACTGGGGTTACCAGGGAGGGAGGCTTTTCTTGACTAAGCCACATAGCCCGGCTTGCAGCGTCCGGGGAATTTTGTTCTGGGCATGGAGCTCTCTGGTTAATTCCTGTCTGTTCTCTCACTCACAGCTGACAGTGGAAACCAGAAGCTGGGAAATACTGACGGCATGGAACGTGCTGGAAAACAGATCCTGAAGGCCAGTGATGCCGGATGGTGGCACTATTCTGACAGGGACCTGCGATGCTCACTGGGAGGTTTTCTAGAGAGGGTGGAAGGCAGGCGGTGGGCACAGAGAGGCCCCTGGGATGCTGTCTAACTGGCATTCTCCCCACCGGTAGTAAGTTAGCTTGGGAAGCATGGTGGGTAGGGCTGTGGGGGGGGGGGGGTTTTTTTTTTTTTTTTTTTTTTTTTTTCACAGTGACATTATGGTGTGACTTCTTATATACAGGATTTATAATTTCCTGCAGGGGTGTGGTGGCACAAGCCCTGAATCTCAGCATTTGGGAGACAGAGAAAGGCAGATCCCTGAGTTTGGGCCAGCCTGGTCTACAGAGTGAGTTTCAGGGCAGCCAGGGTTACACAGAAAAACCTTATTTTGAAAAATAAACAAAACCAAATGAATTTTAGTTTTCTACAATGCTTTGAATAAAGCATCATACACTGTATGGAATTTTCCGTTTTGAAAGTAAAACAGCAACAGTATTAGGGGAAAAGGGAACAAACCGAGAGAGGGAAAATCCCCCTGGATCATATGGTTCCTGCACATCCTGCCAATGTCTGCTCATTCCCCCAGGTTTCCCAAATTCAGCTCAGCCTCATGTTTTGCTTTTGTCTAATATACACAAACTCAGAGTCACCCAAAAGCTGTGTGGCCTCAGAAAGTGACGAGAATAAATAACCCATTGAGTGACTAAATGAATTAAACATTAGGTGGTCGGGCTGCGGAGATGGCTCATTTTGTGGGTTTCAACATCTCAAAGCTCACCTCCTTTCAGGTTTCAGCCACCTTAGCCCGAAGAAACAACCCTTGGGAAGGACTGCGCCCCTGATGGAGAGGACAAAGTCTAGAAAAAAGAATGGATGATTAAAGTTCAGAGTGATGGAGGTGGCCTGGCCCCGGAAGGAGCTAGGTCCGCACTGCTCAGGGGACAGGTGCAGGGGCACCTACACTGGGGCAGGTTACAAGTTTGCCACAATGGAAACCTCAGCCCTGCTCCTGCTTCCAAATTTTCCAGCGATGCCAACCACACACATGTATCGACCCCGAAGCTGTATGAACTAGATACTACAATTTCCCACCTATAGAACCTTCTACAGTCTCATGTACTTTGCATCTGAATACTTGGCCAAATTCTGCTATTTAATACGTCAAAAAAAAAAAAAAATCTGTTACTGTGACAGAAGAGATGTAGCCACGTGAGCAGTGGCAGTCCAGGATCTCTCAACACTGTGCCCTGCTGGCTCTCTTAGACACATCTTGGGGAAAGATACTCCCAAGCACAGCCTCTGCGGACCCTCCCTGACCTTGTCCCTCCGCAGGAAACCGTGGTTTGGGTGGAACCCACTACCCAAAGCACAGTGCTTAGAGCTGATTTCCTTTGGCGACCTGTGGCCCTCTGACTCTTCACTCTCCGGAGACGTGACGCCCGTGGGCCTGGAGTACAGGGAATCTGTGTTGTCCGCCGAGTAATGACTGGAGCCAGGCAGGGCTCTAAAGCGCTGCTACGCACGCACGCACGCACGCACGCACGCACGCACTGCATGCACTCACGCTTCTGTCAGCAGGTCCAGGGCTGATGGCGGTTGTCACAGCTTCTCCTCTCCCAATTGCCCGCAGCTTCTGGGCCTGAGAAGCCATCGTTCCCTTGGCGCCGCTCACCTAACAGGCAGCATTCCTGGGCCTCTCCTGATGATGGATATAACAGGTGAACTCCGCGGGGGCGAAATCAAAGCACACTTTGAAGGGCAGGTGGAGAAAGGTAGGCCCCTTGGGGGTGGCAGCGGAAGCCCCAAGGTAGACATCCAGGGAGAAACGCCCTCCTCCCCCACCACCGAGGCATCTCAGGCACCTCACCCATAGTACCAAACCGTGGGGTCCCTCAGCCCCTCCACGGGGTGGGCGTCCATCAAAGAAAGTGAACCTGCCCTGACAGGATCTGGGTGTGCTAGCTGGTCCTCTGTGACCCTCAGCTTCAAAGATCTTTCTGCAAAAACAGTGAGTGACCGGAGGGCTGCTGAGAAGATCCAGCAGTTACGCATCCTCTCCTGGAGGACCTGGGTTCGGTTCCCAGCACTCCCGTGAGACGGCTCACAACCACCTGTAGTTCCAGCTTCAGCAGATCTGACGGCTCTAAACACGCTTTAAAACGAAAACAAAACAGTGACCAAGTAGCTGAGGCTTGCTGAGCAGCGCGCTTAAACGTTCCCGCTGTTTAACCCGCGGGACAACCCTTTGAGATGGGCGCCCAGCAGAGGGACAGAGACCATGGTAACAGTTGAGTGGGTCTGCTTAATGCTCCTGTTTGGGGGCAGCTCTGTGTGACACCGTGGAAAGAGGTGCAGGGGGGCAGAGTCCCAGTCAGGGTAGGGGACAAAGGCGAGGTCTCCCGGAACTTGCCTTGGGAGGTGCTCCCGTTCGGGTCTGTATGGAGAGGCTCAGAGTGGGGGTCTGCCGGCTCACAGACCACAGATGGCTACTTCACAGCTCCGAAGTCAGGGCGTTCCCACATGGCCCTTCCTGAGGCACCGCAGTCATTCCTGCGGCCCGTCAGTACAGGCTATGCCTGTGTGTGCCAAGCCCTTGGAAACAGGGACAAGCAAGAAACCTGAAATCCTTTCTCATTTGTTTAGTAAGTTGGTTTATTGAGACACGGTTTCATGTAGCCCAGGCTGACCTGGAACTCAATATGTCCTAAGGATGATCTTGAATAATCCCATCACTTAGGAGGCAGAGGCAGAAAGATTGCTGAGTTTGAGGCCACCTGAGTGATATAGCAAAACTGTCAAAAAAAAAAAAAAAAAAAAAAGCGGCAGGTTCAGGAAGCGGCAGGGTCTTTGGGAAGGCTATGTCACACGGCCCTCAGGTTGCCATGACTCCAGAGCATCCCAGCTCAGGCAGTGGTACCACAGCCAGCTGCCTTACATTTCAGTAAATACTGCCATCTGGCTCATACTTCAGACGGGCTTGGAGGTCAGTATGGTCTGTGTTCCAGTTCCACCCCACAGGTGAGCTTGGCCAGGCCCCTCAATCCCACCCCCAGCTTCAGTTTCTTTAACTGAGAAGTAGGACCAGCAGGTTTCAGTGCAGGGCCTTCCGGGGACTAGACGAGGTGAGGGCTGCCAGGTCCCAAGCCCTTGGTAGATCCTGGTTTTCCTCTCCAGCTCCTCCTGCTAAGCTCCTCCCCACTCCTTTCCAAAGCAATCTTTGGCCGCTCAGCCTCCTGGGAAACTGCACCACAACAGTAACCTGTGAAACTCTCATCTCTTGCGGGTGGCGAACCACTGCCGATCTACATCTTAGCCCCTTGTATACAGTAGGCACTCGGTGGATGCCCTCACGGATGTCATTCGCTGCAAGGTCAGTATCTGGGTGTTCTTGAGCCCCTTTGTGGTCGGATAACAGCTCCCTCACGGAATGAACAATGCCTATACGCACACACGCATGCGCATCTATACCCACACACACTTTTATACACACACCTGCGTGCACACACACACAAACATATAAGTAAGGAAATGCAGGAAATTTTAATTATGAATACAGAACACGAAGGGAAGTATGTTCGGTGGCACATTTTCACGGTTGGTGCAACCTATGCCAAGCCGTGTGCCCTACTTTAACCTCCTTCAAAAGAAAAAAAAAAAGGCGCAGAGGAGCAACTTCCTGCCTCACTCGGGAGCCCTACATCTGCCCACCCTAACTGGGCCCCAGAGTCTGAGCTCCACGGAATTTGACGATGACCAGTTGAGGGCCTGAGTCACACAAATCTCTGCAGCCAAAGGCTCCCTTTTCTGTCATCGAAGATGACTTAGAGTTGATAGAAGAGGTGGGGCTTTTACTGGAAATGCCCAGGCAGTTGTTCTGAGAGCGGCAGGCTCAGGGTGGGCCAGGAGATGGTTGCTGGGGTTAAGTCTTGCTTGCTGAGCCCCTGGACTGTGATGCCTGCTGCTGGCATGGACCGGTACAGTGGCAAAGGAGGCCTGCACGTGGCAGACAGCCTCCCAGCTACTGGCAGGGATTCAGCCAGGAGTGCCTCTGTGGGCCGATTTCTTTTATCGTAGCAAATGGCAGCTCCGGGGACAAGAGCCCACCTGTCCCACGTGGCATCTAAACTTCACAGCATGGAACGAGGGCTGATTTCTTTCTGTGCTGTGACTGACCTCACAGGTCCACACAGGTTGGATGATGGGTGCCCTGTCCCCAGCTAAGGTCCCAGTTTCTTGTCAACACCCCCCAAATCAGCTCTCTTGCCCTCCACTGCCTCTCAAGGTTGAGGACTCAGAACCAGGAGACAGCCGAGGTGTGATGGATCAAGGCCAGGTGCAGGCAGGGCATCGGGAAGGTGCAGGTGGGCAGAGGAGTGGGAGATGGGGTGGGAGCGGTCAGGAGGGGCACGCAGTAGACTGTCCACCAATGGTAGATGTGGTGCCAACAGGCAGAGAGTGTGCAGCCCACAGGGGAGGGGTGAAATGGCGCAGCACAGGGGATGAGTGAGGCGGCCTTCAAGGTGTCACCGGCCTCTAATCCCAACACTTCTAGAGCATCACAGAAGGAGGCGGCTGA